TCTGTAACCAGTCTGTAGCAGGAACATCAGTAACTAGTCAGTAGCAGGAACATCAGTAACCAGTCAGTAGCAGGAACATCAGTAACTAGTCAGTTACTAACTTAACGATGTCAAAGTCAGTTACTTTCAGAATCCAATTCACTCTCGCCACCCAGTTCAATTATCATTTTTTTCTATCGACCTTGTCTCGGCTGTTCGGACATGTTGACAATCTGCTGACAAAGGCGCACCCCTTCACAGTAATAGACCCAACCAGTTGTGTCAGTAACAGGCAACATCAGTAACTAGTCAGTAGCTGGAACATCAGTAACCAGTCAGTAGCAGGAACATCAGTAACTACTCAGTAACAGCAACATCAGTAACTAGTCAGTAGTAGGAACACCAGTAACTATAGTCAGTAGCTGGAACATCAGTAACCAGTCAGTAGCAGAAACATCAGTAACTACTCAGTAACAGCAACATCAGTAACTAGTCAGTAGCAGGAACACCAGTAACTATAGTCAGTAGCTGGAACATCAGTAACCAGTCAGTAGCAGAAACATCAGTATAACTACTCAGTAGCAGAAACACCAGTAACTAGTCAACAAGTGAGTGGTGCTGTATATCCAACTATGCTAGTACAACCTGAAGGCACTTGAATCTTTGCCAGGTAAACACTGTGTAAAAAGGCCCAACAATGCGTAACAACGCGACATGTTTTGACCTTGAAATGTCGCGTCGTCGCCCTTTTCGATTACAGGTGCGCATGTGTGTAGAATGTCAAGTAGTCTACGCGTGCGCAGAAAATGTTATGCTCTATTTCAGACTTCACTGGTCTTTTGTTACCTCCAATGGTTTATAAAATGAAGTCATACTCGTAGTGGTAGACTAAGGTTTAGTCTCTGAATATATATAATTTTGATAGTAACAAACAAGCCCATTTATATTGAAAAGGAGCCCTAGGAAGACCAGAGTTTCAGAATCTCTGAACCTGAGGAAATCTAGACTTGCTTTATTTAGGGCTTTAGCACTGCAGAGAGGGCTTGGCAGTAGGGAAATTAATGTGGTTCAGGGACTGTGAGACAGACTATCGTAGTGGCAATGGGGGCTGCTTTTCTTGAACTTAATGCAAATCTTTCATTGTTGCTTTGAAAATTATTTTATATATTGTAAATGTATTTAGTCAATCAAGTGTGTTTTAGCAGCAAGACAAATTATTAGCGCGAATTTTCATTATAATGACGGCACACGGTGGCCCTGTCATTCAAAGCGGGGCAATTTAGTCACACCAGAAAACTATGATCATAGGTTCGAATCCCAGCACCATACACATTCATCACTTTGGACATTTCTCCAATATCACGCTGACCGGTTGTGAAAAAACTGAAATATTGTTAAAATTCAGGCCACATCGGCATAAACATCAGGTGAAGTCCTCGAATGGGTCACTATGTTCGACGGTTTGGCTCCCGATAGAGTTTCTTGGGACAGTTCTGTCCGACGCTGATGAATTATTGGTTTTTTGTTTCGTGTTGTTATTGTTTATTTTACGTTTTAACTTTCTTTGTATTAATGCTTTTTAGCTTTAAATTTATGTTATTGCGGTTTGGGTTAGTGATTTAGCTTAAAGAGAAGGCCGTAGGCTTTTAGTCTTAATTTTATGTAATTTCGGTTTTGGGTTAGCGTTTTAGATTAGAGAGAGAAGGACTGCCTTTTCACGTTAATTTTATGTTATATCGGTTTGGGTTTAGTGTTTTAGTTTAGAGAGAAACGGTGTTAACTTGTACTTTTATTTTTGCATTCCCCATTTGTATGGCCAACATGATAAGGACGAAGCACTTGTGCATCACAGTCATATACCCACATGCATAACCATAACTCACGAATTCAATACCCAAACAATTATATAATGGACAGATAATTCAAATATGTCAGCACAAATAAATAATACGAAATATGAAATCTGGAAGGATACTACTTTGATTTCAAAGTCTGATTGCTGTGAAGGCGCAGTTGAGTCTACGTAGGAAGGTCGTCGTGGTAGATCAGATCTCTGTGATTTCTTCAGGTACTGTTGATAATGTCAGTGGAGCTGCTACACGTGATGAACAACACATACGACACTTTACATCAACATGCATAACAAACGTCAGAAAAATGTCAATGTCCGTTGGCATGTCATGCCCTCGCGTCTATCCATCAACTGGGTGCCTCACATATAAAGCTGTAGACACTACAGCAATAGACCTCTCCTTTCTCATATGCTACACCTTAGAGAATTGCAAAGATTTGACTCGGCAAATCATGCACAGTCACCGCCAAGTCGCCTCTGAGCCATTGCCAAGACTCGAGCTGGTTTGCCTGCGCCAGCCACCATTTCGCCACCATCGCCTCTCCTCTAGGGGCCGCCCCTTCGCCCCCATGCCACACCAGGACTTCGTCCTGCTTTAAGTAAGACATCACCACCATTTGCGCTTGCTTACTGCCAAGTCGCCTCTGAGCCACTGCCGAGACTCGAACTGGTTTGCCTGCGCCAGCCATCGTTTCACCACCATCGCCTTTACTCTAAGGGTCGCCCTTTCACCCCCTATGCAACACCAACATTTGAGCTTGCATCCAGCAAAGTCGCCTTAGAGCCACTTGTCAAAACTCAATCTGTTTCAGTTCTGCTACACCATGGCCGTCTGTACATCGAGCATCTTCGGGAGAACGAATGGTGAATAGCATGAGCAACGTCGAGCGCCGTTACACAAGCTAAGCACCAAGTCAACCAAGTGCTTGATCATGGTGGAGGTCGGAATTATCCCTCTATGCACTACCATCTTTCCGACCTCCGTGGGCAGACGTGGAGGGCAATTTTCACATCGCCGTGCCCGTTGCATCGTCGTGCCGGAGAAACAAAGGCAAATATCCGAGCCAGTGGCCAACCTGGCTCCTTTCCCCGAATAAAGAAGACCCCCGTCAATACGTTGGAATGTTAGACTTTAGCCTGAGAGTACTTTGCATTTTAAAAAGTTAATAAATACTTTATTTGAAGAGTTAGAAAAACGCCGTTTTGCATGCACCTCCACCATTGAATGGGCTTTCTGGCAATATAAGCCAATTCTGACTTTGGAAACAAGAGTTATATAGGATTTTCTGCAGAAGTATAGCAAAAAATGACGATTTCTTCTAACAAATTGTGCAATATATATTTTAATGTTCAGGATAGATCAAATCTGCGTTCATCACCGTCACCGACGTCAAAAGAGCTTTCTAATGATACCAATACAGGTATGTTGCAGATAGGTATAACGGATTTAGAAGCAAACAAAGACGCGATAAGGCAAAGCCTCAACAAAGGCCCATTTGAAAGGCCGCCGACACAAGAAGCGGCGGTATAAACCGACGTGTGTAACGTCTCAGCACAACGTCGCACATGTACGTGTTATACGTCGTTTGAAGCGTACTTTCGAGGGCTTTCGACTGCATCAGACATATTGAAAATCAGACCATGGACATAGAAATTATAGCCGAAGTGAACATCCGCTGATGGCGGAGGTGACACGGACACCAGAAGCGGCGGAAGTTTCAGATGTGTGTAGCACCTTTGCAAAATGCCGGACATGTACGTGTTATACGACGTTAGAAGCGCATTTTAGAGGGCTTTCATGTGCATTATAGAAATGAGGGGTCGAACGACGGGTATAGGCATTATAACCGAACACTGCATGCGCTCATGTCGGAGGTGACACGACACCATAGGCGGCGGCAACTTCAGATGTGTGTAGCATCTTTGGAAAATATTGCACATGTACGTGTTAGATAGGCATTTTAAAGGGCTTTCATATGCGTTAAGAAATAAAGGATCGAACACAGGTATTGCTGTTTTGGTTAGATTCCAAACTATTGTACTTTTTAGTTCTGTCCAGCATATTCATTCCTGTATAGCTCAACTATCTAATGTTGCACAACAATATATTACATATTTCCAGAATCCCACATGAATGATCCTGCACATGCACTATATATGTAGGGATACGTATAGCCGGTACGTATAGCCGGTGTACAGATTCATATAATTCCGCCAATCTATATCACGTCCCACATATTTTGCAGTTCGCACATTAATACTCATGCAGTTCCACCACTGAATGTGCAACATGTGTGTATTATACATCGTCTAAAACACGCCTTACATGGCTTTCAAACGCACTATAGAAATGTATATTCTGAGGTGATGTGTAAGAGTAGTAGCCGTTATATCATATACTACATGATGTTGGCGAAAAATTGCTATATCACAGAAGAATTGAACTTCAGTAAAATTACACAAAACAGCACGTCAGAGTTTCAATCTGGACTGGTTACCAGGGGCAGCATAATATTCACGTTTGCATATTTGGAGAGAGCGTTTCCTCAGGTTTCCAACAATGTATAACATGCATAGATATGACAAAGTAGAAGGCTTCCAAAATGCAATGGCGCGGGCGACTTCCACCGAAGGCTGGGTGGAACAAATTTCTTCCAAAGGGACCTACGTGGAAGAAAAACGCACAGCTTAAAATCACAGAAACCTTACATGCTCGGCAATAAATTTGCATTAAAACAAACGGAAACATTCTCCGTGTAGCGCCAGGATCCAGCTATCCAACGACACGCAGCATGCGAGTGTAAGGCGGTTTATGCAGCTCCCAAGGGAGCTGTGCTGAAATAGGCATGTTCCCATCTGACAGGGGCGCTTTTGGGGGCTTGTTTGTTACTGCCAAAATTATATGCATTCAGAGACTAAAAGTTAGTCTACATCGGGGCACATGTATTACTGAAGTCCCGTCACATATGGGTGGCAGTGACCTGACCGATATACTGTGTTATTGTTCATCTCCCGTTTCAATATCAGCAGTGTTGTGGCGGGACTGTCCTTTAGCCGACAATAATGGAGGTCAGGAGACATAAACTTCCACGGGCTTTTCCCTAAGCATTGCCAACATTATCTTATCAAATTACTTTTTCACATATATTATACTTATTCCCATGTTACATAATTACTAGTCTGGCACCTACCTTTCACCGGATGGTGGTAATAAAGAACAGAGGGTGGCGTTTCTTTTGTCCAGAAGCATTTCAAATTGACCGCCCACTAATTCTTAATGAGCCTATCGTTATTGGTCAGCGCGGCAATCTGGCAGCAGTTATTGTCGACACTGTCTGGCGGTATGTTTTACAACCTAATTGACTTTCTCTCATTTAAGTGAAAAATCAGCAGATTAACTGCAGATACACTCGTGAACTTTGCATATCATATGTAATATCTTTTGATATGAAATATTTAGCAAATATTTGAACTGTGAGAAAATGAAGAAGCATGGAATTACTTCAGGGAAGACCGATATATGATACACTGTATATAGGAAACACTGTATATAGGAAACACTGTATATATGATACACTGTATATAGGAAACACTGTATATAGGATACACTGTATATAGGAAACACTGTATATATGATACACTGTATATAGGAAACACTGTATATATGATACACTGTATATAGGAAACACTGTATATAGGAAACACTGTATATATGATACACTGTATATAGGAAACACTGTATATAGGAAACACTGTATATAGGAAACACTGTATATAGGAAACACTGTATATATGATACACTGTATATAGGAAACACTGTATATAGGATACACTGTATATAGGAAACACTGTATATATGATACACTGTATATAGGAAACACTGTATATAGGATACACTGTATATAGGATGCACTGTATATATGATACACTGTATTTAGGAAACACTGTATATAGGATACACTGTATATAGGAAACACTGTATATAGGATACACTGTATATAGGAAACACTGTATATAGGATACACTGTATATAGGAAACACTGTATATAGGAAACACTGTATATATGATACACTGTATATAGGAAACACTGTATATAGGATACACTGTATATAGGATGCACTGTATATATGATACACTGTATTTAGGAAACACTGTATATAGGATACACTGTATATAGGAAACACTGTATATAGGATACACTGTATATAGGAAACACTGTATATAGGATACACTGTATATAGGATACACTGTATATATGATACACTGTATATAGGAAACACTGTATATAGGATACACTGTATATAGGAAACACTGTATATATGATATACTGTATATAGAAAACACTGTATATATGATACACTGTATATAGGAAACACTGTATATATGATATACTGTATATAGGAAACACTGTATATATGATACACTGTATATAGGAAACGCTGTATATATGATACACTGTATATAGGAAATACTGTATATATGATACACTGTATATAGGAAACACTGTATATAGGATACACTGTATATAGGAAATACTGTATATATGATACACTGTATATAGGAAACACTGTATATAGGATACACTGTATTTAGGAAACACTGTATATAGGATACACTGTATATAGGATGCACTGTATATATGATACACTGTATATAGGAAACACTGTATATATGATATACTGTATATAGGAAACACTGTATATATGATACACTGTATATAGGAAACGCTGTATATATGATACACTGTATATAGGAAATACTGTATATATGATACACTGTATATAGGAAACACTGTATATAGGATACACTGTATATAGGAAATACTGTATATATGATACACTGTATATAGGAAACACTGTATATAGGATACACTGTATTTAGGAAACACTGTATATAGGATACACTGTATATAGGATGCACTGTATATATGATACACTGTATTTAGGAAACACTGTATATAGGAAATATATATGAAGAAAACATCAACTCTCCCCGCATAGACACAACATTCCATCCTAAAGCCTACTGGATATCAACAACGAAAATAGAGACAATTTATACCTGATATCCCTGTGAAATATTCCCTAAGATTAATTAGAAATGATCTAAAGATTTAACATTTGATATGGTAAAACATTAATAAAGCTGGTAAAATAGGAATTGGTGTAATCATAGCAGGTAACTCTTCTGACAAGACTCTTGATATTGTATTGTTTAGTTTTTTTCTTGTTTATATGTTTTCATGTGCTGGGATATGGTGTGTGTTTTGTATTGCTTTTGTTTGTGTGGGTTTTTTATTTGCTGTTTTGTATAAAGTTAAGTACATTTCAAATATATTTCAATGCGCACCAGAGGTCGGTGATAAGGGCAGATCATGTCACCTCCAGCCACCTCCTGGGAATAAATTATGAACGGAGACTGGTCGCCAGTCTATCTGACCTAACCAATCACTAGGGTCAAGCTTCACAGTTACCCACCGGCTCACGGCACATGCAGGGAAGCCTTTCCCCGACAGAACACGTATCAACTGCAAGCAGATTGGGATCTTACAGAAAACCTTCACGCGTTTTCCCAGAGTACACCTTAGCTGTTCGTCATGGAGAATGCCAACAGGGATTCCCAAATGTAAGTGTCTCTTAAACAAACAATTACTACTCTGCAATGACTCGGGCGATTTGTCAAGCCCTTGAAGTCCCTTAAAGAACCACTAAACTTTGTTTTGTTACTCTTTTTAACCATTACATATGAAGATTTGTGGTTAGTCTTATGCGGAACACCAAATTTATTCTTTAAAACTTGTGGTTAATTAATACCGAGCGATTAAAAGTGGCCAAAAAGTCGCCTGCTTCCCTCTCGCCCGCCAACAGAAACCACAGACAGGTTACGTAACTCTGTCGCCAGAGCACTGCAGTGACGTCATATGAGGAACGATTTTCAGTTAGTTGTATAGAAATGTGTAGCACGCTCATCATTTTGATGATTTCTCGACATCAACGACGACATGCCGAATCGTTGCTTTGTCGTCAATTGCTCCTAGGGTCGGGCGATGGTGTCCCCATGCACAGATTTCCACAGGACCCACAGTTCGTGCTAAATGGGTTATGTTTGTGAGTGCGAAGCGAGCGTTGTGGAAGCCTGAAACGATATCTTACTTGTGTTCAGATCGCTTCACGGAAGTTAAAGAATCAAAACTACTTACTAGTTGTAGTAAAATATGCATACGATTGATGACCATAAAGATTTTCTATGACACAACTTGTAACATAACGATTTCTTCCTCGGAAGTGAGGTTGTGGTCGAAGTAACAATAATATTGTAAGTAGTATTATATTGACACCCACCTCGCTGCCACGAGAAATTGTTATGATATACGCTATGTCATGCAAAATCCTATTGGCCATCAATAAAATACATATTTTACTACCAGTAGAAAGTAGTTTTGATTTTGTAACTCGGTGAAAACAAACCTAAATACCATTTATCCTCAGACTGGCGGATGTTCCCGACAGGGCGCCGCCATTTTTAAAAATAAAAAAAATCTGTTAGAATTAATGAGATTATAGTTTGTTTTCATCAAGTTAGAAAATCAAGACTACTTTCTACTCGTAGTTAAATATGTATTGGAATCATAACCAAACGGATTTTTGCATGACACAACTTATAACATAACGATTTCTTCCACGGAAGCGAGGTGGGGGGGGTATATATGATACACTGTATATAGGAAATACTGTATATATGATACACTGTATATAGGAAACACTGTATATAGGATACACTGTATATAGGAAATACTGTATATATGATACACTGTATATAGGAAACACTGTATATAGGATACACTGTATTTAGGAAACACTGTATATAGGATACACTGTATATAGGATGCACTGTATATATGATACACTGTATTTAGGAAACACTGTATATAGGAAATATATATGAAGAAAACATCAACTCTCCCCGCATAGACACAACATTCCATCCTAAAGCCTACTGGATATCAACAACGAAAATAGAGACAATTTATACCTGATATCCCTGTGAAATATTCCCTAAGATTAATTAGAAATGATCTAAAGATTTAACATTTGATATGGTAAAACATTAATAAAGCTGGTAAAATAGGAATTGGTGTAATCATAGCAGGTAACTCTTCTGACAAGACTCTTGATATTGTATTGTTTAGGTTTTTTTCTTGTTTATATGTTTTCATGTGCTGGGATATGGTGTGTGTTTTGTATTGCTTTTGTTTGTGTGGGTTTTTTATTTGCTGTTTTGTATAAAGTTAAGAACATTTCAAATATATTTCAATGCGCACCAGAGGTCGGTGATAAGGGCAGATCATGTCACCTCCAGCCACCTCCTGGGAATAAATTAAGGAACGGAGACTGGTCGCCAGTCTATCTGACCTAACCAATCACTAGGGTCAAGCTTCACAGTTACCCACCGGCTCACGGCACATGCAGGGAAGCCTTTCCCCGACAGAACACGTGTCAACTGCAAGCAGATTGCGATCTTACAGAAAACCTTCACGCGTTTTCCCAGAGTACACCTTAGCTGTTCGTCATGGAGAATGCCAACAGGGATTCCCAAATGTAAGTGTCTCTTAAACAAACAATTACTACTCTGCAATGACTCGGGCGATTTGTCAAGCCCTTGAAGTCCCTTAAAGAACCACTAAACTTTGTTTTTTGTTACTCTTTTAACCATTACATATGAAAGATTTGTGGTTAGTCTTATGCGGAACACCAAATGTATTCTTTAAAAACTTGTGGTTAATTAATACCGAGCGATTAAAAGTGGCCAAAAAGTCGCCTGCTTCCCTCTCGCCCGCCAACGAAACCACAGACAGGTTACGTAACTCTGTCGCCAGAGCACTGCAGTGACGTCATATGAGGAACGATTTTCAGTTAGTTGTATAGAAAATGTGTAGCACGCTCATCATTTTGATGATTTCTCGACATCAACGACGACATGCCGAATCGTTGCTTTGTCGTCAATTGCCTCTGGGGGTCGGGCGATGGTGTCACCATGCACAGATTTTCACAGGACCCCGCAGTTCGTGCTAAATGGGTTATGTTTGTGAGTGCGAAGCGAGCGTTGTGGAAGCCTGAAACGATATCTTACTTGTGTTCAGATCGCTTCACGGAAGTTAAAGAATCAAAACTACTTACTAGTTGTAGTAAAATATGCATACGATTGATGACCATAAAGATTTTCTATGACACAACTTGTAACATAACGATTTCTTCCTCGGAAGTGAGGTTGTGGTCGAAGTAACAATAATATTGTAAGTAGTATTATATTGACACCCACCTCGCTGCCACGAGAGAAATTGTTATGATACGCTATGTCATGCAAAATCCTATTGGCCATCAATAAAATACATATTTTATTACCAGTAGAAAGTAGTTTTGATTTTTGTAACTCGGTGAAAACAAACCTAAATACCATTTATCCTCAGACTGGCGGATGTTCCCGATCAGGGCCGCCATTTTAAAAATAAAAAAATCTGTTAGAATTAATGAGATTATAGTTTGTTTTCACTGTTAGAAAATCAAGACTACTTTCTACTCGTAGTTAAATATGTATTGGAATCATAACCAAACGGATTTTGCATGACACAACTTATAACATAACGATTTCTTCCACGGAAGCGAGGTGGGGGTCGAAGTCACAATACTGCGCGATAAATTTCTTGCTACATTCCCATGGTTAATGTCCACTCACCAGTATGTAGATACTAGTCAATGTGCGTCTTTATATTTGGTCTTATAATCCTAATTAGTTTATTATCATACTTGTATGCATTTTGAAACTAAATAAAAAGCAGACGATCTGCTGATACTTATAGTGAATTTATAACAGAACTGTAATATCTAGACATTTTATAGTTTGCCAATGTGAATCATAATTCGCACACACATCCTAGTGCATGTTGTCTGTCTCATTACACTTCACGGCGAAAACAATGATTCTGTTGAATGCTACGACAAAATGAATAAAACAAAATGCAAATATTAAAATTAAAACAGATTAAAATTATAGGAACAATATCAGGCCATTACCTTGTTCGAGGAATGTATCCATCAATATCCACAAAACTGTTCCAAATGATGTGTCTTTTAACAGTTTAATATACGAAAAAGTGATAAATCTTTCAGGTATTGGTGTATAGTCTCATTGGTCACCCAAGATAGCACACCTGGCAACTAATTGCATAATGTCCGCCTTTCTTTAAAAAACAGTAATTTAGTTAGCCAATAATGGGCAATCAATCAATGTATTGCCGGTTAATCCTTTGAAAGAAGGACGTTGTTTTTACGCAGACACCGACACGACAGAGTGTATTCAGTATAAATTAGTAAATCTACATACATAAACACTACCTTTTGACAATTCCGCTGTGTAAGATAAAAGTAATTAATCAATCAGCGTGTTATCGGTTAATCCTTTGATCGATGTTTATAATGTTGAATATTTACTCCAGACACAAGAAATGCCAAATGGGAACCTTTGTCGGGTAATCTAAGTGTGTTACCACTAATTATACCTGTTATAAATTCATTAACTGACCATCAAGTGAATGATGACAAATAACATGTGTAGGTTTATACCACCTAACACGGGTTACAACGAGGGAGTATTAATTGCTGTATTGCATGTGAAAACTTATGGGCCGACACTGTTTTGAGAATACAAACAGATTTTTACATGACATGATTAAATATCGAGGTAAAACAACACAGAAATGGGATCAATTTGGATCAGTCATTATACAAATAGGGCCTAACGACACCAATCGATTTTGACAGAATCGTTTATGAAAACAAGTTGTAACTCGGAAACTAGGCAAAGCAGGAGACAAAATTAAATGACAGTAGATTGTGAGAACATATAGCTTTCATTTTCCACAACAGTTGTCACGATTTCAGGTTTATACAAGCCTGTAAACAAGATAATTTAACCCCTAAAATGTAGATGAATTCTGCATCGGCTCTCAAAGCTATTCCTCATATGACGTCACAGAGGCGCGCCGCTCTGATTGGTTGAAATTTCGTTCGCGGGTGAGAATTGTGCACTGTTGTCAAAAAGGTCGATTTAAGTCAATTAAAGGTCGAAATGAGTAGTTTTAATGACGGGGTTTCATTTATAACGATGCCAGTTAGTGATTTATGTATTTGTACCCCCTAGGGTTTATGTGACCTTTAAAATACACGTTGTCTGTCCGCGGGTTCATATATAAGAATATGTGTTAGTGTGTACTGGGTTAAAATGGATTTCAACCGCACGTTCGAAATTATTGAATTAATAGTATGACGAGCATACCTTTTATTGATGTCCCAGTCATCACACAGTATACCCTGTCTCACAGATACATTTATACTATGTGAGGTTAGGTGGATTGGCCACCCTCTATTTACGCCTGATGACATTTTATATGCGCACTGCCTGGCAAGCATAAATAATGGTTTACATACTCATGTATGTGTTTTCATGGGTAAATCATGGTCGATTAGTTTCTACAGAGACACGTCGACCGAGTTCATCCCAGGCATGCTCCATTGGGTTGAGGTCCGACGAGCATGCCGGCCACTCCATCCGCTCTACACCCTGCTGCCTACGGAATTCAGTGACAATCCTGGCCCTGTGAGGCCTAGCGTTGTCGTCTTGCAGTAAAGAGGGTCGACCATCAAAGCCATGGATAGCTTGCAGGAATGGTACTGCTCTAGGAGCCAGAATCTCGTCCCTATAACGCTGTCCGGTAAGATTACCGTCGATCACGATCACGTGCAGTGGAGTACATCAAATAGGAGGTATCCCTGCCTGACCCCACCGTCAGATTGGTTTTGCGTGGCCACGGCTGCATAGGTGAATCGCTCTCTATTGCTACGATAAATCCTCTGCCGACCATCATGGAAGGACAAATTGATCTGCTTTCATCTGTGAAGAGCACACGAGACCATTGAGGTTGACCATTGGTCGACGTACATATTCCACGGACCCATTGGCTTGAAATCTTAGCCACAGTCTACCAATAACACTCTGGCTCACATTAAAGCGGACAGCAACCTGCCGCTGAGTTTGACCAGATTCCAAAAGGCCTATAGCCTGACCCCTTTCAGCAAGTGTCAAAAAACGTCTCATTTTAAGCTGCGGTTTCAAACAGGTACCTGAACAGTGACCGACAGTGAAAAAGCATCAATGCATGTGTATTGTTCTCCACTTTCCATGGATAGAGCGATTTGCACGTGCAAATCATTGACATTAACACAGGGGGGAAGCCCTGTCCATGCTCAACCGGAAGTTGGTCGTCATCGACTATCATTTCCTCGATAGAGAGCCGATCCCGGTAGAGAGTGAGTCCCAAACTTCGTAAGATTTTGATATTTCCAAATAGTAAATGTTTATGAAATCGACTTGTCTTATAAACTGAATGGTCATGGATTATAACCCCTATATCATTTGGTCATGACACATTATATCTTGTTTACATTTGAAGCATTTCTTGACACCTCAGGTTGAGCATGGACAGGGCTTCCCCCCTGTGATTGGCAGGTGGATTTCCATATTGACAATTTGAATAATAAATGTGCCATTTGTATCAGAATGTATCGGACGTTAAAAACACAATAATGCCATTTCAACGCGCTGATGTGTTTTTCCATGCTGTTAAGAAAGTTTATAAAACATTCAGATGTATATATTTAAGCAAGAAAAGAAACTTTTAAGAAATAGTGTTACCAATAGCTTGACTCTTCATTAATGACGCCGAGTATATAATCAATAGTATTAGGCTTGATAATGGTGATTCATAAACGTTCACAATCCTTCGCGTTTCTCCACTCAATCAAATACTGATAATTGTGATTATGAATCGTCTGTGATGGGGCTGAATTGAACATTATTGGTTGTGACGTGACTGTAGTTTTTCAGAGAAGCAAACATGGCCAAGAAATTGACTCATTTTGTAGTGCTGATAACTATTGTCGTATGGCGTGAAAAGTGACGCCGTTATGGCCGGTGGTATATATGTATGATATTTAACGTTCACCTTACAGCGGTATGCAGTTACCCAACCGTCACCTGGAGAATATGACCAATGACAACCTGTACCATTTCGCCATGAGTAGGACGTCACATGACCTACCTGCCTTATTTAGAGACGTCAAGGTGCGTAGTACTACTACCTGAAACACCATGGTGAATATCTTGGTTACAGCCACCCATGCTTGTTGTAAGAGGCAACAAACGCAATCGGTCGAACAGGAACTTTGACTCGTGTTTGATGCATCCCATTTGCGTAATTGCTCATGCTCATGCTGTTGATCACTTGATTGTATTGTCCATCCTCGATTGTTTACAGACCACTGTCAAATAGCTGGAATATTGCTGAGTGCGGCGTTACACAACGAACAAATAAAACGTGGAAATAATGTAGCACACACTGCAGAAATGTGTTTTGATCCAGAACTAAAACACCTCTCTTGTTCCCTAATCTGACCCGTTTAAGGTCTAAACGTGTTTTGGGAGATAAAGCCAATTTCTGGTGTCTCCTCTGTAATATTGCTGGAACACTTAACTGGCATAAAACCAATCTTTCAAGGTCAATCAAAAATGTAATTAGGACAGACATTATTTGTGGATTTTGTAAAAGCGTGGACCTAGACAACATTTGATCTGATATTCCGACAAGGTAACCTTGTTCGTAACAAACCTTCTTGAAAGCATATCATCGTATGTTTCTGTGCTCATGATATTAATCACTCGTTTGTATGCTCGCATTTAATTACTTACAAACTTTGCCAACAACAGACACTGACTATTAGTTAAGTAAAGAACTGTAGCATAACTAATACGATTACCTCCATATTTCAGTTCGTGTGTCTCGGAGGTTCTGCACGACGTATGGAAAACTTCGCGCATTACATCGGTCAGGAGCTGGGTGTTTTATCGCCGAACGAGAAACTCCCAAACCTAGCCAGTAACAGTGACAGATTTGTGCTGTACAAGGCTGGACCCGTTCTCTCTGCCAATGTATGTATTTGTGATGTATTTCAAATGCGTATGTCACCGAACACTTTCGTAATTCGTCTGTACAGTTTGTGCACCTATAAAACTGAAGAAGTCTTTGTATTTGTGAATATTCTTTTATTGTTAATCACTGTAATAATCTCCCGAAACCTGATTATAGAAAAACAGTAAAATTAGGACAGCATAAATGTCCCCAATATCATTAAAATCAGATCTTTTGCACTGATTCGAAACTTATCTCCATCAAGATCTTGCAGTTCCTGAGCGAACATTATAGGTAATTAAGATCATTGTATGAACCAGATGGCAGCTTTCTAAAACGCCTTTCCCCTAACTTCTCATCCTCATTCAAAACTTCAGGCCTTCTCGTTAGCGTTCTTTTCCAAGGTAGAAAAACAACAACAGAATTTCGGCTCCGAATGTTTCGCTAGTTCATATTGTGAGTTCAGATACCGACTAGGAAGCTAATCTAACGTGACCTCCCATACAGAGATATTCTGCTTCTACTTTTTTTCGAGTGTGCTATGTGTGTGATTTATATAACTATGCAAAATAAGTATTCTCTGTAGTTAGAATGATTTCATTTAATAAATGTAAAGTATATTTGGTCTTAGTAAGATATGTATTAACAAAAACAGAGCACAGTCAGTGATACGTCAAAGTACCTTCCCACTTTGCAGCACGGTATCGGTGTGCCGTCCATGCTGGTGGCCCTGCACGAAATACTCAAGATGCTTCACTATGCCGGAAGTAACGACGTCACCTTCATCCGGATTGGTACATGCGGCGGAATCGGCAAGTTATTTCACACGCTGTTTCACATTCTACTGCAATACACGTGTCAAGTTAGTTCAAACTGAAAATCATCTATTGTCAAATATCGGTGTTATCAATACATGCGTTTGGGTGACAGAAGCACTGAACGCTTAGTCGGCGAGGTGTGACCTGTGGCAATAATTTACAAGATGGCATACCGACTTGTCCTATATCTCGAGATGAGCAGAATGTCGTCTATCGCGTCCAACTCCTCCTATCATGGACTAGTTTCCTGCTGGGAGGTGTTGTGGCTGATTGTTTTTCTATACAGAGGAGACCTACCTAAAGGAAGGACGCCATGATGGACACCCGAGACAGGTTTAGGACAGGTCAGATCTTCAGAACTTAGATGTTCTTTTGTGGTGACACATTTGCGCCAACCTTTGGGTAAAGACAGCTTCTTGAATAGTCCGCCTATTCTACGGGCTCTATTGTTTATAGGCATGACAACGCTGGAAAACATTGGTGACAAGGGTTAATCTACATTTCCTTGGTATGTGATTCTCATGTAACTGTATAATATAAGGCTGCGATCAGATCATATAAATGCATTCCTCCCCATCATTTAACAAAGATAAGTGTGGACGATCTAACTCAAGGTCAAGATTGGTTATATAGAGGGTTTTCAAATAACTTGCTCTACTGGTGATGGCTGTTCATAGATATTCTGCTGATGCGTTCTAGAAAAAAACCGTTCAAAGTCTTAAATTCGGACATAGCGTTTCATAACAGAAACAAATGTTACTTTGACACGTGGTTTGGGTTCGACTCTACATGAACATGGTTTATAGATAACCACGTGTGTTTCCACAGGTGTTCCTCCTGGCTCTGTGGTCGTCAGTAACTCTGCTGTCAACGGGAAGATGGAGCACACCTACGAAACAGTGAGTACATGCCCGGTTATTTACAGACCGTCTGTAAAGCTGGCTGAAGATCCAAGTCTTCAGCAGCCCATGTTTATCGTCAGAGGCGACTAACGGGATCGGGTGGTCAGGCTCACTGACTTGGTTGACACATGTCATCACATCCGGATTGAGTAGATCGATGTCCATGCTGTTGATCTCTGGATTGTTTTCCTGTGTGTTGCAACCTGTCCTGATCGTAACTACAAGTAGGACACTATGATGAGATTCAGATCTGTCTGAACTGACCATCTGAACATTTTGCCACTATACATTCGACGACAATCTTTTATAGGTGTACGCGCGATTTCCCAAATCATTTTAGCTACCAGCTATTTCATTATCATGAGTGAGGAAAAATGCATGATGTTTCTATGGTATACAGACAGACGAATAAAATGGTCGTTTTACTGGGATGACAGCACGATTGTTGAAACTGTTGAAAGTAATATTACAGTGTACCTTTGTGCCATGCAGGTGGTGTTGGGCAAGGGCATCCAGAGACCAATCATTGTGGACCAGGAACTTGCCAGCGAGATACATTCCTGCTCAAGAACTGAAGACCCGTTCAACATTATCTTGGGAAAGACTTATTGTACAGATGATTTCTTTGAAGGTCGGTATTTAGCCGAATTAAGCCATGAATGGTCCACAATCAGTTGGCATTGGAAATATTTTGGAACGACAGTCCATTTAGCCATTTGTTGCATATGCTCTGGGAATTATATACTGAGGGAAACAAATAAGTGAACACCACTTCATGGTAGTGTTCCTTTATTTATTCTCAGAATTCCTCCCACAGCGATATTCAAAGCTGGTGATGAAAACTTGAAAATATTAAAGGAACGCTTGAATTTTCCTGTGTTCCTTTATTTGTTTCTCTCAGCATATTAAGATCACAGAAGATATCTTTTGAATCTATTTCATTGAAAAGGCCCATCGTTTCAATGGTCCTTGTTTCTTTCATGCAGGTGTTGATTTTTTTCAAGTTAAAGGTTGTCTGGTAGACTTACAGAAGCACATATTACTCTACGGGGTTCTTATTGAGCACCATGAATTAAACCAATACTACGTGTACATCAATGTTATATTCTTGCTTTTGGGGGGTTTGTTCTTAGTACTTTTAATAAAGGGCAGTGGGGTAGCCTAGTGGTTTGCCCATAACGCCGAAGGCACGGGTTAGATTCCCCACATGAGTACAATGTGTGAAGCCCACATTTGTTGTTCTCCGCAATGGTATTGCAATATTGCTGAAAGCGGTGGAAAACCAAACTCCTCTCTGCTGTTAGTTACAGTGTAGCAATAAACCTTTATTCCCATTAGGTCAGGCGCGAACAGGTGGCGCTGTGTGTGACATCAACGAGGGGGACGAACGCCGGTTCCTGAAGCAACTGGACTCGGAAGGTGTGAAGAACATTGAAATGGAGTCGGCTGGGTTCTTCGCTCTCTGCCATAAAGCTGGCGTTAAATGTAGGTGATGGTTTTGGTCTAATATATGACAGTGTTTTGTCTCTATCTTCAGTAATGAAATGGTTCTCAGCCTTTGTTGGGCTCTATTGTGTCTAATATGAGGGGCGGTGGGGTAATTTAGTGGTCAAAGCGTTTGCTGGTCACGCCGCTTCCCCACATGGGCACAATGTCTGAAGCCCATTTCTGCCATAATATTGCTGGAATATTGCAAAAAGCGGCGTAAAAGCTCACTCGCTCTAAAATGAAACTATACAGAAACTTAAATGAGCACCAGGTCAAGCAGCCTTCCAAATGCAAGGTTTTGTGTATTTTGTTTAACGACATGTTCTGCAATATAGCAGCAATGGTTTAAAGATAAACGAGTCTATACCCAACAATCCAGTGATTGTCATTACAACCATCGATATACACAACATGGTCTGTATTACAGGCGGCGTGGTGTGCGTGACCTTCATCGACAGATTGTCGACGGAGGACGTTCCCACGGACACCGACATACTGAGCGAGTGGACCCAACGGCCTCAGATTCTGGTCGCACGGTTCATCAAGAAACGACTTGCAAATGGGGTGTAGCTTGAATGCTACAACTGACGTTTCAAGGAACCTTTAGCTGCATCCGCATCTGAATACGGGATATAAAGTGATCATTATCGTGCAGTATATCCTTCAAAGGGTCATTGTCGTGCAGTATATCCTTCAAAGGGACTTAAATTAGCACAAGCATACACGACGGAGCCAAATCCGGAGCTTGAAGAGTATAGCTCAATCACCATTTAGATTCCAGTCAGACGTCCAAGATGGCTTTATGAAAACACCACTTACAATCTAAGTGCACGCTTAGTTCCATCAACATCATCCCCGGTGAAACCAGTGAACCGAAGAAGCTCAATGATAACCTTTTCATACCTGCACATGATGACATCTGAATTTCTTCAAGAAATTCAAATTCGATTATTGCCTCCACAGCCGATGTACTAGAAATTATGTTGCCATTACTCAGCCTCTTTTGTTTGAAATCTAATGGAACTTTCAATCAATCCTTATTTCTGTACTTAAAAAGGCCACAGGCCTGTAGTACATTTAGAGTTTACATGAGTAGATAGAAATCATTTATAAATTCTTTTCTGTAACAATACTTTTTCTTAATCTCATAGCGAAATAGATGTACATTGCCAGATTCTGTAATATTGATGTGGTAGTATCTGTTAATAGTGAAATTAATGTTCTTACACTTAGATGCTTATAATAGTATGGCTTTAGGTATTTTGTTCGTAGAGTCGTATAAACAGGACAGATTAGAAGAAAATGTAGTTCATCCTCAACAGTACTCGTATTACATAACTGACATATTCTGTTTTCGCTTTGTATACCTGCATACCTGCCAGTTTCAATAAATAATTCATGGGAAGAGCAACGAAAACGAGAGAGAGCTATACGGAACTTCTTTAGGCCGATTTTTGCTAAATAATCTTCAAAACGTATGTCCGATTTCCATTGGTTATAGTATAAACATTTTGTGGATAGAAGTAGTGATTCCGACCAAGACTGGAAATAGATATCTTTCATTCTTTGTGTAAATGATATGATAAAATTGGTATGCAACTGAACATTGTGATCACACCACACATAACCATAACCAGTTTTGTATAACAACTCCCTAATATCACTCACCCAATTCCTTTTCCCATTTTCGTCTTACAATTTCATCATATCATAACATTTTTTCGGAAACCTATGGCATGGCATATGCAGTAATCTTACCCAATACTTTATGGCTTTAATGGAAGAGTATATAAACAAGGGGAATCTACCTAATTCTCCGTAAACCATCCTATTACATGTGTTCGGTTTTACACCAAGAAACCTTTTGCATGCATATAAATGAACTCTTTCAATACTGTCATATTGTTGTAATCCCCATATTTCAGAGCCATATAGAGGTATTGGACTTATCTTCATATCGAATATTTTAAAGAATGTGTTAAAGGACATTTCACCCAACGATCTCATATTTTTACAAACACCGATTAGGATTTCGAAGGCTTGTGCTGACGCTTGTTTTGTGTGTTTGGACCAGGAAAGGCTATTACAAAAAATATACACCAAGATACTTATAAACACTGGTAGTTTTGAGTAGTTGCCCTTTATAATACCATTTTTCTAATTTAGAGAGCTTTCCACCTTTCTTAAAGACGATAATTTTGGTTTTGTCTCTGTTTACACACAATTTATATTGGTCAGAAAATTTGTCTAATTCATCTATTTGTTTCTGTAAACCGCTAACAGTACTAGAGAATAGTACAATATCATCGGCAAAGAGTAGCAGAAATAGTTGTATTGTATCTGGGTGTAGTTGAATCCCATTCCTACATGTGTCACATATTTGTATTGCTAATTCATTAATGAAAAACGTAAAAAGGAAAGGGCTTAAAATACAGCCTTGTCTAACACCTAGTTCACTAATGAAAGGTTCAGATAATTCATGCTGATTCCTTACACACACTTTAACATTTTCGTATATACTCTTCAACATTTTATTCATTTTACTACTAAGACTGTGCGATTGTAGAAGTCTCCATAGTTTATCCCGCTGCACAGAATCGAAAGCCTTTGCAAAATCAGCGAATAGTGCGTAGAACTTTCCACCTTTTGAGCTGAGGTATCTTTGTATTAGGCTATACAGTATAAAGATATTATCTGTTGTTGTATATCCCTAACCCTAAAGCCCGCTTGACCCTCGTATATCTGATCCATGACGTCAGTCCATTTAACTAATCTTTTTGTTGATAATGTAAGTAAATAACTTGCCAAATATACTAAGTACAGTTATTCCACGGTAGTTATTGGTATCTTTAGGGTCACCCTGTTTATAGACTGGAACAAGAATGCCAACTGACCAAGATTCAGGAAAGATCCCAGTGTCGAGGATAATATTGAAAATAAGCTCAAGATATGGAAGTAAAAGATCAGATGAATGTTTGAAAAATTCCGGGAGGATGTTGTCTAATCCTGGTGACTTATTACACTTTAGATGTTGTATACTGTTAAGTATTTCATCTCTACTTATTGGGGCATCCAATATGTCGGGGGTTACACCTGTAATATGAGTAGACTCAGTATCGTTCACATAGTCTTGTCTATTTGGATCTGGGTTGTTATCAGAGGTAGAGAATAATGACTGAAAGTAATTGAACCATTCGTCGATTTCAATGTTATTATTTTGGCTTTTCTAGGTTTAGTGTTTTAAGTTCATACCAGAATTTTTGGCATCATTTATATTATTTTCTAGGTTTTGCTTTTCTGTTCCATAAATGCCTTTCTCTTTTCCTTGCAGGTTGTATTATATCTGTTTCTAGCCTTGTGATATCTCTCCAGGGATTGCAAAGTTTTATCTTTTCGGAAGGAGTTAAGAAATTTACACCGTTCTTTTTTAAATGATTACATTCTTCATCATACCAGATATTCGTATTATGTTTTTTTTTCTGAAAGGGGCGTATCCGTCTTTTCATATCAAAAGCAGCTGGACTCAATGCTTCTACGACATAATCTACACATTGACTTATATCAGTGAATGCTACATCAACAGATTTATCAAATAAGTCTTGTATATCATCCGATAGTAGATTATTTCTGAATTGCGACAACATCTTGCTATTCCAAACAAATTTGTATGCTTCATGATCAGATTTATATTTACCACTCATAGTCTTTGTGTATGTACAGTTTCGTGTGGATATTAATATCAATGTTGACCTCAATTATCACGAAGCTCATAACTTCTCCCATATATATATATAATCAAATACAATAGTACTTATTTTTGCTTTAAATATTTTGACTAGGTACTTGAGCAGAGTTTCTGCTATTTTTTAAACATTTTAGATTGTTGTGCTGTCGTGTCACTACATGTTTGTTCGTGTGTTTCAAAACAATGAAACTGAGCGCTGACAGTCAAAGAATCAGGACCACAACATCCATCAAAGGTCAAGGTCATGGTGTCATTCTCGGTAATATGAGTTGTTTTCTTATCAGACACTTATTGGCTGGAGATGTGTGAAACTTCACGACGTGTTCATAACAAATAAGGCAACAAACGATCTGTGCATATGTCGAACTAACATAATTTACTGAAACCTTGGCTATATAATGTCTCCTCTATCCTTGTGTTGACTGTCGACGTTCTAGTTGATGTATCCAGTTGTTGCTTTAAATATATTAACACAATAAAGTTTACCCCTTATATGTGGTCCTTTGTCATTGTCTTTACAACCCATGACTGCAACGTCGGGGTGTGGTTTGAGGGGGAATTGTGCCTAACCCATTTCTGGAGTTCTTGTAAGGGCTCATTCCCACTTACCCAACTTGCTGGGGGGATTAAAAGAGATTAACACTTACGGGTCAGTGATTGTGCAGGGTGAATTTGTTACCCCTGCTATGGTTGTGACATAAGTTCACACAGCACTCCAATCAGGGCCGATCAGAGCAACCTCATGACCACCGGTGAACATATTTCACAAGACAAACTATATGAACCATATTCATATCATTTGCTACAAAATGAATTTTAATTAAGTGAACGATGCCAACGACAAGTATTATAAAGTATGGAGATTTCCTTGTTTCTCCATTGCACTATGGCAAACTTTCACGTAAACACTTGTTTCATTCCCAATGGACACGGCGGTCAGTACTTGGTCTACGGGGGCTGTAAGTTCAGTATCAAGAGTAAGTGAGTGAGTTAATATTTAACTTCACATCGGCAATATTTCGGCCATATCGTGACGAGAACATGTTTGATATTGAAATGGAATATGTGTATATTATATAACCCTGTCGTCAAAGGACAGTAAAACAACTAGAATATCACAATTACAATTTAATCTAGTGTGGAAAGTTAAAACTAATAGCACTATTTGGACAATATAATATAAAAACAGGCTACAGATTGTCACCAACTGAAGGTAGATCACCACACTAGGGACTCAGTATCAAGACCAGACGAAGGACTGTTTTTTCCACCCCGACATTTAGGCCATTGGCATTTTAAAGAAGGAACAAGGCTGGGTGGAGGCATGTGTTCTTCAGCTAAGAAACGGTGCCAGACCTCCACCAAGGAAGAGAAGTTGCACTGAACCATGCCTTGGAAATGCCTATTGATATTGAAATATTGATGTATAATATGTGATATGATGTTGATGTTGTATTAAGTTGTATAAATGGATAACTTGTATATATATAATTAATAAATACAGACAAACATTGAATCAAACGTAGTAGCATTTTATCCCATTTGGCCCCGGATACTATTTCACAGGGAACCAAATAAGGGATTAAAGGGGATTATCACACCCCAGTGATTTCTTCTACTGAAACAATAGGAGTTGGGTAAGTGGAAAACCATACTCTCTCTCTCTCTCTCTCTCTCTCTCTCTCTCTCTCTCTCTCTCTCTCTCTCTCTCTCTCTCTCTCTCTCTCTCTCTCTCTCTCTCTCTCTCTCTCTCTCTCTCTCTCTCTCTCAGTAATAGATATTGATGATGATTTTTATGGAGAAGCATGTACAACGTGACTGACCAACCCCTAATATTTATGTACAAAGTAAGTGAAACACCAACCCCATCTGATGTACATAATCAATTACCCCCCTTCCCCTAGTACATGTGTGAACTCCCTTAAAATCATCTTCACACCCCCAGCCCCAACCCCTGGCCATAAAGTATGAACGATCCCTAACACATTTCCTCTTTGTTAACATTTGGTTTTATAGTTGATATTATTTGATTATACGAATTTGCAACGCAGGTATACCAACTGAAATGCTGAAAACGTTTCTTTGTCCTAAATACGAATTAAGTACGTCATGATCCTAACCTTTCACTGTCATACGAGCAGTTTTAACTCGTTCCCAAAACATAGACCTGTCCATGATTTATTCATCAACTATCTGTATCTGCAAATCCACAAGTGACTAAAACACTGCGTATATCTATGTCCATGACGTTGATCACTGGATTGTCTGGTCCAGACTCGATTATTTACAGACCGCCGCCATGTAAACAACAATCAAATCAAAGAATGGCTCCTTGGTACGATAATGTGTATCAGTTGGTCACAGTGGGTGTACTCATCAGCTTCACACCGGTTGTTGCACCCTCCAGTACTACATGTAAGGGCGTGGATATTGTGTATCGGTTGTTCACAGTGTGTACTGATCAGCATTACCCGGGTTGTTGCACCCCACCCCCCACTCCCAGTGCTTCATGTAAGGGCGTGGATAATGTGTATCAGTTGGTCACAGTGTGTACAGATCAGCTTTGTCCCGGTTGTTTTGCAACCCCAGTGCTTCATGTAAGGGCGTGGATAATGTGTATCGATTGGTCACAGTGTGTTCTGATCAGCATTATCCCGGTTGTTGCACCCCATCCCCCACTCCCAGTGCTTCATGTAAGGGCGTGGATAATGTGTATCAGTTGGTCACAGTGTGTACAGATCAGCTTTGTCCCGGTTGTTGTACCCCACCCCCCACTCCCAGTGCTTCATGTAAGGGCGTGGATAATGTGTATCGATGTTGGTCACAGTGTGTTCTGATCAGCATTATTTGTATCAGTTGTTACCAGACCCACCCCCACTCCCAGTGCTTCATGTAAGGGCGTGGATAATGTGTATCAGTTGGTCAGAGTGTGTACAGATCAGCTTTGTCCCGGTTGTTGCAACCCCAGTGCTCCATGTAAGGGCGTGGACAATGTGTATCGATTGGTCACAGTGTGTTCTGATCAGCTTTGTCCCGGTTGTTGCACCCCATCCCTCACTCCCAGTGCTTCATGTAAGGGCGTGGATAATGTATCAGTTGGTCAGAGTGTGTACAGATCAGCTTTGTCCCGGTTGTTGCACCCCACCCCCACTCCCAGTGCTTCATGTAAGGGCGTGGATAATGTGTATCAGTTGGTCAGAGTGTGTACAGATCAGCTTTGTCCCGGTTGTTGCAACCCCAGTGCTGCATGTAAGGGCGTGGATAATGTGTATCGATTGGTCACAGTGTGTTCTGATCAGCATTATCCCGGTTGTTGCACCCCACCCCCCCCTCACTCCCAGTGCTTCATGTAAGGGCGTGGATAATGTGTATCAGCTTGGTCAGAGTGTGTACAGATCAGCTTTGTCCCGGTTGTTGCAACCCCAGTGCTTCATGTAAGGGCGTGGATAATGTGTATCGATTGGTCACAGTGTGTACTGATCAGCTTCGTCCCGGTTGTTGCACCCCACCCCCACTCCCAGTGCTTCATGTAAGGGCGTGGATAATGTGTATCAGTTGGTCAGAGTGTGTACAGATCAGCTTTGTCCCGGTTGTTGCACCCCACCCCCCACTCCCAGTGCTTCATGTAAGGGCGTGGATAATGTGTATCAGTTGGTCACAGTGTGTACAGATCAGCTTTGTCCCGGTTGTTGCACTCCACCCCCACTACCAGTGCTTCATGTAAGGGCGTGGATAATGTGTATCGATTGGTCACAGTGTGTACTGATCAGCATTACCCCGGTTGTTGCACCCCAACCCACCCCTCACTCCCAGTGCTTCATGTAAGGGCGTGGATAATGTGTATCTGTTGGTCAGAGTGTGTACAGATCAGCTTTGTCCCGGTTGTTGCAACCCCAGTGCTTCATGTAAGGGCGTGGATAATGTGTATCAGTTGGTCACAGTGTGTACAGATCAGCTTTGACCCGGTTGTTGCAACCCCTGTGCTGGATGTAAGGGCGTGGATAATGTGTATCGATTGGTCACAGTGTGTACTGATCAGCATTACCCCGGTTGTTGCACCCCACCCCTCACTCCCAGTGCTTCATGTAAGGGCGTGGATAATGTGTATCAGTTGGTCGCAGTGTGTACAGATCAGCTTTGACCCGGTTGTTGCAACCCCAGTGCTGGATGTAAGGGCGTGGATAATGTGTATCGATTGGTCACAGTGTGTACTGATCAGCTTTACCCCGGTTGTTGCACCCCACCCCCACTCCCAGTGCTTCATGTAAAGGCGTGGATAATGTGTATCTGTTGGTCACAGTGTGTACTGATCAGCTTTGCCCCGGTTGTTGCACCCCACCCTCACTCCCAGTGCTTCATGTAAAGGCGTGGATAATGTGTATCTGTTGGTCACAGTGTGTACTGATCAGCATTGCCCCGGTTGTTGCACCCCACCCCTCACTCCCAGTGCTTCATGTAAGGGCGTGGATAATGTGTATCTGTTGGTCACAGTGTGTACAGATCAGCTTTGTCCCGGTTGTTGCACCCCACCCCCCACTCCCAGTGCTTCATGTAAGGGCGTGGATAATGTGTATCTGTTGGTCACAGTGTGTACAGATCAGCTTTGTCCCGGTTGTTGCAACCCCAGTGCTTCATGTAAGGGCGTGGATAATGTGTATCGATTGGTCACAGTGTGTACTGATCAGCATTACCCCGGTTGTTGCACCCCACCCCCACTCCCAGTGCTTCATGTAAGGGCGTGGATAATGTGTATAAGCTTGGTCAGAGTGTGTACAGATCAGCTTTGTCCCGGTTCTTGCACACCACCCCAAATCCCAGTGCTGCATGTTAGGGCTTGGATAATGTGTATCAGTTGGTGAGAGTGTGTACAGATCAGCTTTGTACCGGTTGTTGCACCCCACCCCCACTCCCAGTGCTTCATGTAAGGGCGTGGATAATGTGTATCAGTTGGTCAGAGTGTGTACAGATCAGCTTTGTCCCGGTTGTTACACCCCACCCCAAATCCCAGTGCTTCATGTAAGGGCGTGGAAAATGTGTATCAGTTGGTGAGAGTGTGTACAGATCACCTTTGTCCCGGTTGTTGCACCCACCCCACCCAGTGCTCCCAGTGCTTCGATTGTAAGGGCGTGGATAATGTGTATCTGTTGGTCACAGTGTGTTCTGATCAGTATCTTTGGTCCGGTTGTTGATCAGCTTTGGCTCCCCCCACCCTCACCCCAGTGCTTCATGTAAGGGCGTGGATAATGTGTATCAGTTGGTCAGAGTGTGTACAGATCAGCTTTGTCCCGGTTGTTGCAACCCAGTGCTTCATGTAAAGGCGTGGATAATGTGTATCGATTGGTCACAGTGTGTACTGATCAGCATTAACCCGGTTGTTGCACCCCACCCCCACTCCCAGTGCTTCATGTAAGGGCGTGGATAATGTGTATCAGTTGGTCACAGTGTGTACAGATCAGCTTTGACCCGGTTGTTGCAACCCCAGTGCTGCATGTAAGGGCGTGGATAATGTGTATCGATTGGTCACAGTGTGTACTGATCAGCATTAACCCGGTTGTTGCACCCCACCCCACTCCCAGTGCTTCATGTAAGGGCGTGGATAATGTGTATCGGTTGGTCACAGTGTGTACAGATCAGCTTTGACCCGGTTGTTGCACCCCACCCCACCCCACCCCCTCCAAGTGCTTCATGTAAGGGCGTGGATAATGTGTATCAGCTTGGTCGATTGGTCACAGTGTGTACTGATCAGCATTAACCCGGTTGTTGCACTCCACCCACCACTCCCAGTGCTTCATGTAAGGGCGTGGATAATGTGTATCAGTTGGTCAGAGCGTGTAGAGATCAGCTTTGTCCCAGTTGTTGTTACCCCAGTGCTGCATGTAAGGGCGAGGATAATGTGTATCGATTGGTCACAGTGTGTACTGATCAGCATTACTCCGGTTGTTGCACCCCACCCCCACTCCAAGTGCTTCATGTAAGGGCGTGGATAATGTGTATCAGTTGGTCAGAGTGTGTACAGATCACCTTTGTCCCGGTTGTTGCACTCCACCCCCGCTCCCAGTGCTTCATGTAAGGGCGTGGATAATGTGTATCGATTGGTCACAGTGTGTACAGATCAGCATTGTCCCGGTTGTTGCACCCACCCCTCGCTCCCAGTGCTTCATGTAGGGGCGTGGATAATTTGTATCGACTGGTCGCAGTGTTTACAGATCAGCTTTACCCCGGTTGTTGCACCCCACCCCTCACTCCCTTTCTTGGATATAACTGGGCAGTGTTTACAGATGCTTTACCCCGGTTGTTGCACCCACAATCTTCATATAAGGGCGTGGATAACAGTGTGTCACAGTGTGATCAGCTTTACCCTGGTTGTTACATCCCCAGTTGTTACATCCCCAGTGCTTCATGTAAGGGCGGGGATAATATCTCTCTCACACACACACACACACACACACACACACACACACACACACACACACACACACACACACACACACACACACACACACACACACGTGTGCTTCCATGGGAGATTCAGACTAAGAAAATCTAGACTTTCTTCATTTAGGGCTTTAGCATATTGCACTGGGGTCTAGGCAGTAGGTAAAAAATCATGTGGTTCGGGGACTGTGAGACAGACTTAGTAGAATACAGTCATTGCTGTGTGTTTTTCCATTCTCCAGATGCGCACCTAAAATCGCCGTGACAAGAAACGTGTAGGGTCTTCTAGCAAGCTGTCTTCGGAGTTCATTCGCAGTGTGTCAGTCGGAAGTAAACTACACTGAGAACGAGATCTTCTTGAAATTTTATTTTTTTATGATTTGGCAGATGAAAAATGGATTCGTTGGCCCCTCATATTACACACGAAAAGAACACTTTGATGGTTGGGGGGTTAAACCTTATCTTTACCTAGCCATCCATTAGGTTCTCTAGGTTATGTTGTCAGAGATGCGTTTTGTCAAAATACAACTATAATAAAAGTGCAATTTTATATAAATTACAAGTATTTCTGCTCCAGTCGTACTCGAAGAAAACATTTTTTTTTAAAACGCCAGTGGTTTCCTGTGCTGAATATTTTCCCTGATATCCGGACCATACAGCAAAGAAATAATCTAAAAAGGGGGCATGTATGATGCATTTTTGAATGTGCTTTGGAACGAAATGGTGTTTGTTGTTGGGGTTATGTTTTGTTTTTTGTTGGGTGGGGGGTGGGAGGTGTATTTTGCGTATTGATTGAAATAAACATTGTAAATGTTTGTCTATATACAGTAACAATCTACATCTAACCAGAGACCATATAATAGATTATATAATAGATTATATGGTCTCTGATCTAACAAAACAGTTTTTGTTGCAAACACATATGCATTTTCATGACTACTAAAAATAAACATACAGGAAAAAAGATTTATAAGAATTATTGTAAGAAAACAAAGACACAAAATAATCTCGTAAGTTGACAAATAATTTTTTCTCTTCCAAATTTAGACCGGAACTACATTAACTGCGGTCCTGTCACGTGAGAATTGCGCATGGAGTCGGCAGGCCGCATGGTCGACAGTTTTCCGATTCTATTCGCCGATTTTGGCAGAAACAATACATCATATACCCTTTTATGTATACATAGACTAAGAACTAAAGATGGCAGAATCAAGTCTTGACGATTTCTTTGCTAAGAAAGACAAAAGTAAAAAGAAATCCAAGGCAAAAATACCATCAGCGGCAGTGGACATTGTGGAAAAGACGGATGAGTCGAAGCTTAAAAAGGAGAAGAGAAAAAAGGACAAGGAGAAGAGCCAGACTTCTTCCAATGCTTCGCAGGGTTCAACGAAAAAAGTAGAGGTTCTTAATTATATTTTGCTTGGATGAGTGTTATTTGAGCGGCCTGCTAACCAAGCCAATCAACCAACAGCCTTCCATATGGTCAATTTCATTCCTCAACAGAAGGGTCCACTTGGTCATACGTTTATTTGCAAACAAACAGTATGACTGGCAACCTGACATTCTTGTGATAATGATCATCGCTCACTGATCAGGAAATTGTCTCAAATTTGTTCTTAAGAAATCTATGGTGAATTTCAAGTAACCAACGAGATTAGGATAGGAAACAATTTGAGAAAATATTGAAATACGAAAATCATAGAAAGCAGTGTTGGTAATTAGATTAGGTGATATCAAGTTTGCAAAATGCATGCAAAACCAATTAGTTGATGTTAATAAAGTAGCCTTGAGTTTGGATATGTTTGGGTAAATACAAACTTGGCAAATCTAAATATTTAATTTATTTAACTTTGTGTTTGCATGTTTCATTTCTAAAATCATTTGTGAATTGCTAGAATTCCTGACCTAAATACGTCTGTCTTTGCCACATTTATGTGTGTGTATTATGTAGATTTTGTGAAAATGAATTGTAGGACTTTCATGATCTTCATGATTTTAAATTTTCAACATCATCAAAAATTACCAGGGATATAAATATAGATTTAAACCTGATCTGGATAGTATAGCATATTGCTGAAAACACCTGAATCGATGAAAGTCTCCTTCCTTACATTCCATGTACTCTGTCCGTGAACATGCCTCTTTGTGAAAATAGTGACAGAGTCAACATTCTTATACATATTTGTTATTTGTATTTAAGTGAGGTTTTAAATGAAAATACACATGATCAATCTATCCTGCATGCATCTGTTGTATGTTTTACACACATTTTCACAAGATTAATTTCACTGGATATTTCACTCTGGCCTGTTAAGCTTGGAAAACAAAGGCTTCATAATGGCACTTCAACACATATTGAGCATACTACTTTTGATGTGGATAAACTTGAGTATGTTTTAAAATTCTGAAATTTACTTTTCTGACTTCACTTTCATATTGGTGAACAATTATTGAAAAGTCGTTCTTGTGTTAAGACAGCTTACCCCTGGAACTTCTTTACTTTCCAACAATGCCTCTGTATACAGGGGTGGAAATAACCCGTTGCCCGACGTCCGAGTCCAGTGTTTTTTTCTGTGGGACAAGCAAATTTGTATATCACACTGTACCATGTCCAGTTGACTTTCGAATGTTAATTATGTTGTTTATTTAAAAAAATTCAGCAAGAAAACGGTTGGTATAGTGGAAAAATTATCAGGGCAAGTGACTTTACATGTGCCACTGTACCGGAGTACACTATCAATCTTAAAGTTATTCCATCCCTGGTATATTGATGATTATGTTGACATGAACAACATGCTGACAATACAGTTATACTAATATGGATCTTTTCTTCCATACAGGAGGACGAAGAATGGATAGACTTTCAAGATGAAACCGAGAAAGATTACAGTGGCTTAAGGATACAAAATCTTCAGATAACGTTAGTATTATTTATTTATTTTTTTACTTTATTTTACATTTCGTTACATTGAATTGATGTATATGGGAGATACTGTACTATGCCTTGGTACTGAGTGCTGCCATCCATATATACTGAAACATTTTGTCAATGCATGTCCATTTTTTTTGCAACAAAATGACCAAGCAAATCAAATTTAGTTTTTTATATATATGATTTGGTAATGAAACACAACAAGGCCAATTTGTCACTCAGTCATTTTATTTGTCAGGCTAATAAGTCTTTATTGCTAAAATGCACCACTCATTGGTGCAACTGAATATTTGATTGGGTGATTGTTTTGGACACTGAATGTTGTGCACTCATTTCTGAGTATACTGTAGTAATGATTGTTTGATTCACTGTTGATTGAGTTAGACAATGAGTTAGCATGGTGAACCATGTGAACAATTTCTCCTATCTGTTAAGGGATTTGTATAAGTTGGAGTAAAAAATCAGTTTGCCTTTGTGATTAATTTGTTTAATTTCTTGTACTGAATGTTACCATAGGGATGATGGTTACTGGATTTGATTTTATGTGATGATAATTTCATGATGTGTCAAAATATGTTATTATAATGTCTGGACATAAAATTATAGTTTAATGTGACCATGCTCTACTGTATCTGGATACGAAGATATTATTTTTCTTGCTTCCAAAATTAGCCATTGGCATTATTAATCTTTTGTCTGCAGTTAATAAGCTTGTTTCTAGTCAGCTTGACTGATTCTACTCTCAAGACATCTTGATGGTTCAGGAATACAAGTATTATTTGCCGCTTTAGGAATAGTGGAGTTTCAAGAAGAATCTGACTAATAAATATAAACATGATAAAAATACCAGTGATAGTCACCAGTAGACAGCATGGTTGCAAGCTTGTGAGACTTGGCTATGACATGTTTATTGTCCCCTGCCTCAATGCGGAACGGGGGACTATGCATTCAGCAGCATCCATACGTAGGTCCGTATCACATGCATGGTTGTACTCATTATCTTCAAATTTGGAATAGTCAGTCTACATTGCGGGATTCGAAGACACCAGTCGATTTTGGTGACCTTGACCTTATTTTTAAGATTAGAATGACATTTTGACCACTTTTCAAACTTATGTAAACGTGATATCTCATAAAACGTTGCACCCGATGTCTTCAATCATGTCGATAGCCTTCATTGGGTGATTACGCAGACACCAGTCTTTAAAAGGTGTGTGTGTTTTAAGTAGGTTTCAATGGAATTTCACACAAGAATGCCGCATGTATGAGTGATAACGTCTGTATTGAATTATCAATTTGACGAAACACAAATGTTATATCATAGACTTATTTGACTAGCATCGGTCCACATTACTCAACTGAGCACTGGCGCAAACAGCCCATAGCAGAAACCAGTTCATGTGAACTATAGCATCACATGTCGCAACACATGGTTATGATAATATGAATACACGAAATCGAGAGTTTGAAAAGCTTTGAGACTGGGGTAACAATGAGGTTCAACCCACAATGCAGAGAACAAAACTCAGAAAAAAACAAACCAATATCAAATGTAAATTGCTTTGAAAAGATTGTGCATTGTAACAATGTGCATCATGGACGATCCTCCACGCGTCTAGTGGCAAGAATGCATGATTTTAGAACCCACTCGTCTGTGATGTAATGCCCTGTGACGGTGATATAACTGTGGGTGGCACAGCTGGTCCAAATATCTGTTGTCAAAAGGGACTGCTTTAAAATATCCTTAAGCTGAGTTTTGGTGTCGGCATATTCCTTCATAAGGTAATTATGGAGGGTCTTAGGACATTGTACGATATAACTGGGATTCAATGAGTGACAAAAAAACACAAAAAACATAAACAAGGTTTAAAGGTCTGAGGTCTCTAACGCACATCATCATGACCAAGCGTGTGAGTGTCTCGTATGTTTTTGAGTCAAGCTTTTTCCGGTTGTAACCCCTCAAATATCCCTGCGTCAGCGTGGCTCGCTTTTTGACTGGATTTGGGGAACACTGACAGACTTGTGTTTCATGTTAAGATGTTTTCTCATTGAGCTCATTGAGCATAACTCAGCATAATGCCACAAAGTGTCAAGATCAAAATGGGCCCAAATGTTCGACCTTTTCTCATCCATAACTGCACACATGGTCACGTTTAGTTTAGAGTTATCTCCCTTTGTCAGGTACTCGAGTCCTAGAATTTGGACTCGAGTCCTGTCGTACCCGACCATTTGCGGGCTACTCGAGGACCTGTCAGAGCCCTACTCTCTAGTTCTTTGAACAAAGGAACCCCTTAGATTTCCACTTTTAATTTAATTCTGTGAGAGTGGCAGATTATATTTCAAACATTTCATGGCCTAGTGTTAGTGTCCAGTATTATTTTACCTTTCTATCTTCCACTGTACAGCAAGGAGGAAGAAGATGAACGTGAGGACACTGAGGAAAATGAAGAAGGAGAAGACGGTGAACCCAAGGACAGACAGAGTGCAGTCTCTGGACCATGGGCTGTGTCCGGCTCGGGTCAACCTCAAGGTAGGTTGCATCCTCACGCATTCTATTTGGATTCTGTGATTCTATTTGGAGGTTCATCGGCAAAATATCAGTACCCTTGTATATGAAGTTTTCTGCATTTTGATAGAAGACCTACCTTGTGTCCAGGACTGACATTTAGTCACTACATTAGTTACCGTATTCAAACATATATTTCCACAAAATCTAAATTAAAAAACACAGAGCCCATAATAGTCCATAATTGTAGCTATATGCTGGGGCAGTTTAACATGTAGACTTCCTACCACGTGTATACTTGTGTTATCAAATGTAACAGAATTTGCCTCGAGTCATCTCGTGGCTACATCAGAGGTGTTTTAAAACAAATTTCACTTGTTGGCAAAATAGCCACAAGAAGCAATCGTCTCCTGGCGGTAGCAAAGAACCTTTGAGATTTGTTTTAAAATATCTCTGATGTAGCTACGAGATAACTCGTAGTAGCAAATTCTGTTCCATTTGATAACATGAGTATACTCATGGAAGGTAGTCAACATGTTAAACTTGGCAAAATATTCTTGACTTGAGGTGGATTCCTTTCTTAAGTTATTCTCAAGGAGAGCACTGAGCAGACAGATTATTTGTGTCATTGTGGCATGAAACCGCCGGAAAAGGGAGGGAGGTTAACCTCGTATAATGATCCAGTGAATACATTAAGGCTTTTAAACTAATAAAATGAGTTATTTAAGCATTAAGTAGTGACATTGTTAATGTCTTAGATGGATCTAACATAGGCTAGTGGTAAGCTGGAAAAGTAATGGAGAATGTGCTTCTGTTCTCTGGTATGTGTGCAGTAATTATTGGTGAGATGTCACTTGAACTAGTAACAAGGGATTGTGGTCCTTGTATAAAAATATCAAATATGGTAAAACTCACTAGGTTGTAAGTGTGAACAGCTATCGTGTTTCCAATATTAGAGATCAGTGCTGTAAATGGATTACACAACAAAATGCCTTGGACAGATCATCATGATAATGAAATGACATGCAGTGACTTCAGTTATAAAGATTAACTCTGATGACCTGTTCTCTATTTCATAACTGTGCAGAAAATCAAATTTGGTCTTGAATTGTCTTCAGGGAGCCATGCTTGTAAGGGTATCAGGATCAGGTCATCAAGCTTGCCAACTCAGTTGATGCATATCATTGTACATTATATTCCTGTTGTGTAGGTCAGTGCTCATGATGTCAATCACTGGACAGTCTGGTGAAGACTCTAAATATTTGCAGACTATTGTCATATAACTAGAATATTTGTGATTGCGGGTTAGACAACAGACAAAAGAAGTGATCTCCTTTGTTTTCCAACATTACATTATCCGTTTGGAACATGGTATGTGTATATATGAAATGATGCGTGGCCCTATTGCAGCAGCCCCTGGTGCAGCCCCAGTGCTGGGAGGTGGGGCACCGCCTGAACCTCCTCCCCAGCCACCGAAGCCAAAGGAAGAGGCTCCTCCAAAAATGCCTGGTAAATACATCCCTCCTGGTGCGCGGTCGTCTGGGGGTGGAGGATCTAGTCCTGCAGTCAGTGCACAAGCTATCAGGCGGAAAAAGGAAGCTCCCAATATCAAGAGTGAAGTGGATTTCCCAACTCTTGGAGGTGGAAGAAATGAGTAAGTTGTCACCCTTAAACTGACAAACCAGCTGACAACGTACTGTGTGTGTATTATGAAACGAAGAATTTTGTTATTTTACGATTTATTTTATTATTTTCCATTATTCATTTCATGTAATTGTGACTCTTTGTCTTAGTTTTGGGGGGTACTGGTCTAGGACGCCTTAATTTAATCTGTCAGAAACCTGTAATTTTGGGTTCAAATCCTGGTTCCCCCCCTGAGTTCTTGGTGTGTCAGCACCATACCCAGGGGTTTCACCAAAGTGGAACATGCCTGATACCTGCATCAGTCAAGATGACATGCTGTGATAAAACTGAAATATTGTTACAAGCTATATTCAGTTTTAATTTTGAAATGAATTTAGGTTTTATGTCCCAATTGTCAAGCTCACTACTTATTCCGCCAGTCATTAACATCCAGGGCGTTAGTGACTGGGGCATTTAATATTGTGTGTTCTGTGAGAATACCATGCCCTTCCACTTGACCTGACATGCATAAAGACTTCATATTTACATGATTTAAGAGTGCCATTGATATGTGTTTCTGGTTATCGTTCTATCAGCCCCATGGCTACATGAAATGAGGCTGTCATTGACACTTCAAGCCTTCCTTCTGTTCAGTGGGGTAGTCAATGGTGAAAGCTTTTGCTCTTTGCACTGAAGACGTTGGTTCAATCCACCCCACAGGGATTCAATGTTTGAAGGATATTTGTGGTGTCCCTTTGCCTGATATTGCTGTAGTATTGCTAAAAGCAGTGTAAGACCTTACTCGCTCACTCAAGCATTTCTTCAAATGAGAATACAAAGATTCCATCAATTGTTTTCTTTCAGTGGATTCCAAGATGCCCAAGAAGCCAACTACGAGCATCCGGGGGAGTAAACGTGGAATGCAACTATCTCTGGAAAACAAGTTTGCTGCACTCCAAGACTAAACACTCTAGGTCACCTCATTTGTCAAATACAGTTTTATATATATATATATATACACATACATATATAATGAGATACAATGTTTTGTTTTTGAAGTGCTACCCACGTTGTTGATACGCAATGACCGTGGTTCCTGCTCCTTGGTAGAGTGAGGGACATTGTTGCGGGCCATGATAAATAAGTTTTAGGGTATTCAGTAATCATTTAAATACCTTGGTGTCTTTTATTTTATTTTTATGAAAACTAGGCGACAAACGTATGTGTATTGCTTTCAATCCCATACAAGATACCATAGGTTTGAAGACCCGTAACTTATATGTTATGGCCTAGTTATGTTTACTTGATATGTTATTGAATTTGACCTACTGACCTGACCCGGTTAGATTTCTTGGTATATTATGATGTGTTATATATGTTCTGTGTAAGGAGTTTCCTTCCAACTGTGTCTTGATGGACCTGCTCCTATTGCGCTGTTGGCAGTGATGGGAGCTTCAGATGGGTATTGGCTGATCTATGCAGCCATTACAGTCACAGTGGACAACTCCCGTCCTTATTATCGGACAAGGACAATGAACTATAGCAAGCAAATTACATGAATATAGAAAACTGAAATTGTTTGGGCAATGTATGTTTCTGAACTTTCTGTGTTGTACCTTTGAGTACTTCATGTTATGCGAAGGCCCTAAATTACTTGTGGCTTTTGTAGTCAGTGTTGACTGAATTGTGTATCATATCGAGAATATTGCTGAATTTATTTAAGGGTGCAGAGACATAAAGATCACCAGCCTCTGATCAGCATGCGAACTATTGTGTACAAATGAAGGTGACATTGTTGTATAACAAGTATTTAGGGCCGAATATACATATTGTACAAAGGCAGTTGTTACGCTAAGCCGTTATGTAGCAGCCCTGCTTGAGAGTGTTGAAGTTAAAACATGGGTTAATGTTTTGGGGGCCAAGCTGCTAAAGCTCAACATGTTATATTGCATGGATGTTTGTAAATAAGAAAATTATCAATATTAATTCTTCTCACTTGGCTGCCTGTGGTGTGTAGATTGGATTAGTCTGTTTTGTTACCTTGGAGACACATGATAAGATGTGTGAAATTGTTTCTGCTTTTCTAAAGTTGTCTTTATCTCTCAATTGGTGTATGTAAAGTTTAATTGTATGCTTTAAAAAGATTAATTATTACAAGAAATATATTTGAATCGTTAGAAACATTTTTACCTGAAAGATCAGTTAATTCATTTATTTGAATTTGGATGTTTGTTTTATTTCTGCCATGTTATCTTGTATTCTTGGTGACTTGAGGCCACCTGTGTCGAACATAATCATTCACAATAATATGATAACTTTCCTATGTTAGAGACAATCAGTTGGGTAAATAGGAATGATCCTGCAGTGTCTTGTCAAGCTTTGTCATTAGCTTGCATTATATATATTATATATATATATATATAGTTGCCAAGACCAGTGATGAAACAATGAGTTACAATGAGACTTTCAAGCAGATACAACTTCGCTGAAGTGAAATTAAAACATTCTCTAGACCTTAGTAAGACCATACAGGCATTCCCCATTAAAAATATAATTCTACTGGCCCTTGGATACCTTTAACATTACACAAAGTGACTTAGATAGTGCTAAGTTGCATCCCTGCTTTGCAGCACTTGTTCTGTTGTTCTCATATCTCAGTTCTCCTGTTTTATACATCATCTTTGCTCATGACTCCACTGTACTCATTTCCCCTTAGGGACTGGTAGTCGGGTAATCTACTGTAGTTCTACTGGTGGTGAAGAGTTGTGTCCCTTAGTGTATTGGCCAGTTGGTTGGAGATAATGCTCCTTGTTCTGTCAGCACCATCCCCCTTCTTGTGACTTTGAGACTTTTAATGTAGGCTACTTTGGGCATTTTCCACAATATCATTTAGGCTAACATATTGTTAATAGTAATTAACGATTAAACTTAGGTTTTACGTTCAAGCAAATCTTTTTTGTTCAAGCTGCTTTCTTTGGTTGAAAACAAGATGCAAAACATATAACCTTTACTACTGGGGTTGTATTTGTGTTAAGGTGTGATTTTAAAATTGTCATTCAGCAGCTCGGGAATGTAAGAGGATTTCAGTTATCTATCAAACTTAGTTTTTATGTCAGTCTTTTGAAGCATTTAAGTGACAGGTATTATATGGAGACTGAACTCCGGACTGCCAATTAGATGGAGCACAGGTTTCCTTTAAGAAAAAGACACCTCAGCTGTCGGAAAGGTAGTATTTGTATTTGAAACACCATATTGTGTTTGACAAACTGCTGGGAAACATACTACTACGAAACGAGTTTGGCAGTGCTGTTTAACATGTGGCTTAGTGTGTGCCCTGTACACACGGAACAATAGATCCTTGTATGATACATCTGAACCTCTTTGTGGCTAATACAGTGTGAGGAATGAATGGGACATGAATGCACCTCTTGATCTGGGAGACCTCTCAGGGCCAAACCCTAGGTGATGGATGATACCCAAGTTTTGGATGTTAGTGAAAGTGTCTGTTGATATATCTGAATGCAAGAAAAGATGTTTATGATGACACTATGCTTGTCCCTGTATGATAAATAAGATGAATGCTTCAGAACTGATGCCAGAGCACATTTCCAAGTTCAATAGAACAGGGCACAAAGCATAGACAAGGGAAATAACTCTTGTCATGTTGCATTGCAATGACAAATTGTCAAGAAATGTATGAATGTTTGAATGGTAACAAGATTAACTAAAATCTGGCTGAATAAATGTACCAAAGTTTGTTGACTTCATTTGTGTTCAGACCTTTGAACGCAGATGAAAATGGATATGTTATTTTGAGTTCTTCTGGCTGCCCTGATAAACTGTGAACTGCAGCTGTAAACAACTTGTTGTACAGAATTAGAACACCAAAACGCCTTCTTGGTCCATGACATGGATGGGAATGAACCAGTAAATAAAGAAGACTAACATTTCATTGGCTGTCTCAAAAGTATAGCCCATCTTTGTAAAATTTCACAATGTAGTTCTGATGCTGAAAATCTCTCTCTGAATTGTCCATTGTTGCACATCCGCTTGTTTCTGGAAACGTTGAGGGATATTTATATAAACTCTTGTAATAACACTTTCATATTTACAGATTAGATGGTGTTTGCTGATGTGCAAATCATAAACATTCAGATTGATACTGTTTGTTCATTTGTATTAATGGTCTCAACAGCTGCTACCGTGTGTTTGAGTCGGTGAATAGGTGCAACATTGTGATTGGTGGCAAGTAAATTGTCATTAAAACTGGCCTGCTTCAACACAGCAGTGAATTGTTCTTTTGATTTATTGACCAGCAACATGGGGAAAATGGCCTAAATGATTTATAAATATATGTTCAATGCTGAAATTTATGTAGAGAAAAGAAATTGTGAAAGAAAACTAAATTATGTACGCTTTTGTCCAGCTGCCAAACTTGGTATAGTCCAGCAGGGCCATTGATGCACTCACATATGCACAGATTGTCCCCAGCATTAAAAACAAGCAAAAGTTAAAAAACATAAAATATATGTCTGTTTCTAATGTAAGCCTTTGTATGTTTAAGATTCACTGTCTGAAACTGAAAACTTAGCATACCAGTAAGTGAAATATAGACCGGATTGATATACAAATTTAAATGTTGACTATTTCCAGAGATGTAGTTGCCAGGGGTTACCAACCATTTGTCTACACAGTGGCATGTATTTTGTTTGTCTGGAGAACATGATGCAAGGTAACCCTGACTGTAGACTGTAGATATGTCAGTTGCTACTTGTGTGCTTTGGTATGTATCTGGTTGCCTCAATAAACTTCTTGGAACTTGTATCTTGTAATTATTGTTTTTGTAAATGACACTCTTAATGTTGTGACCACCTCCGTGGTGTAGTGGTTAGAGCGTCCGCCCAGAGAGATGGGAAGGTCGCAGGTTCGATCCCCGACCGCAGGTTCGATCGACCGTCATACAAAAAGACGTTAAAATATGGTACTTGTTGGTCCTGCCTGGTGCTCGGCATTAATGGGTACAACAAGGACTGGTCGGCTCGGAGTCCGTATAATGTGAGTGGGGTATTCATGCTTCACTGCGGCATGCTATCTCAGTGGGCTAGCACTATAAAACCAGCTTAAGTCTGGGCTAGTACAAGCAGCCGCACATACACATACACACGTCATATGAGCGAAATATTCTGAAGTACGACATTAAACCCAATTTCACCTCACCCATCTTAATGTTGTATGGGGCAGTGGGGTAGCCTTGTGGCTAAATCTTGCACTTGTCACACTGAAGACCAGGGTTCAATTCCACATGGGTACAATGTGTGAAGCCCATTTCTGGTGTCCCCTGCCATGATAATTCCTGGAATATTGGTGAAAGTGACATATAACTCACTCAATGTTGTAAACTGTTGACTACATATTCAGGTGATCTTCAGTGCTGTGGATCCTTTCAGTTCTTTCTTTAGTAAATATGGTGCTCTCAAGGCCCAACAAGTCGGGATCAGTTTGACCTTACTCATTTTGTCACCATGTATTGTTGCTTAGGAAGTGAACAGCTGGTTTGTCTGGTTCAGTCTTCTGGATTTGAAAGTTGCTATGGTGAAGCTGTCTGTTTTATGAAACACCTCAATGACTACTGACTTTATGAATGACCCAGGGGTTTCCCCAAATTATGTTCCATGGCATGTCCCCACACTAAGCTGACACACCATGATACATATATTCACCAAATATTCAGCAATTAAAAAATTCTTCTAGCACACACTGCAACAGGTCTTCAAACCTTGTTTGGTCAAAGCTGTGTTGGCTTAGATACACATCTGTAAAAAAGCTAAGATATATTTTCACATGTCCTGAACTTCCATGAACCTTGAGAAATGTGATATGGTAATGTTTCCAAGTCTCTTTCCGAGTCTATTCAACCATCAATATGGAACAAGCGCACTTTGTTCCCCAAAATGGCTTGGAAGTAAGGGTTAACAGCATGATATAAATCCCTTAATTGTGACCTGCTTAGTTTGATGGGGAGATGGTCCGGGTCGGTGTCTTTGTTGACTGCGTGTCACTGTACACTGGCTACATCCATTGCTGCTCAAAACACCGATCACTGGATTGTGTGGTCCTGTTTGACTATTTACGCGCAGATGTGTCATAGCTGTAACAAACAACAAAAGCAGAGGAAGCCCCTGAAATGGTCCTTGTACCTATTGCCACAAATCATTCTCAAATGATTTCAGGTTCTGTACTTTTGTATGTTTGTTTTTCCCTCATCTTCAGAACACCACTTCTGAAATGTTTCCAATGACAAAGTACAAATTGCTCTAAAATGCCACCATAATGGTGGTCTCTACATAATCCAGTCTGGACAGTGAGTGAGTGAGTTTAGTTTTATGCTGCACTCAGCAATATTCCAGCTATATGGCGGCGGTTAAATAATCGAGTCTGGACAGACAATCCTGTGATCAACAGCATGAGCATCGATGTACGCAATTGGGAACTGATGACATGTCAACCAGGTCAGCAAGTCTGACCACTCGATCCCGTTAGTTGCCTCTTACGACAAGCATGGGTTACTGAAGATCAATATTCTAACTCGGATCTTTAACGGTACCAGTCTGGACAAGACAATCCAGTGATTGATATGAGCATTGATCTGCACAATCCGGGATATGATGAGATGCATCAACCACGTCAGCATTCCAGTTGGTCGCCTCCTGCTTCACATTGGCTGCTGAATACCAACTGTAGCCCTGAATAGTGGATAGAACATCTGCCCAGAGAATGGAATAAGGGGCTTGTAAAATATTGGGGCTGCTGTTGAGCCATTTCCAGAACGGCTCTACTAAGAAAATGTAATCCCAAACATTACGTGTTACAACAACTTATTCTTAATTTGGAGTGTCAACCTTAGCACTTATCTTAAATCATAACCTTTTGTGACATCACATGCTGAAACCATTACTAGAGATACTGTTAAAAATAGTCACAATGAGCATGGATCGTTAAGGCAAAGCAGTATATCTGAAATAGCAATAGACATTTATACATACTGTGTATATTATCATCCCCAGATACTCTATATACAACCACAGGTTGAAATACTGGTTATTACTCCATGTATGAAGAACATCACAAAATACACATTTACAATGTACTCAATCTTATCTAATTTACGCCCCGTGAAAATCCAGATTAGAATTGGTGTTCAGCAACCCATGCTTGTCGTAAGAGTTGACTAATGGAATCTGGTTGACACATGCCATCGTATCCCAACTGCCTAGTTGATCACTGGATTGTCTGGTCCTAACTCAATTATTTACAGACTGCAGCCATATAATAATGATAAAAATGGCTATTTATAAAGCACCTCTTTCCACACACTTGTGCATGCTCAAAGCGTTAATGTGTTATCACCGGGTTAGCCCAACCTGCATGTGAGGGCACTAGAAGGTTAACAGTCATATGACTTATCCCATCAGGTACTAAAGTACTGTCAGAAAAAAACTGTTTTTTTTGCATTGATATCTACAATTTATGTAGTTGATTGAAAGTGTGATATATGTGTTACACTAAGTTCAGCCTAACTACAGTCTCAGTGGTAGGGAGATAGGAAACATAGAAAAAAGGACTTTACTGAGGAGAGATTAATGCAGAAATGAGAAATGCCTTTTTTTTCCAAAGTCCAATGCGATTTATACTGGCCACATAAAGAAACTGTGCACACAGAAAATATAAAGATATGCAAACAGTGTCTTTATACATAAATAAAGGTGTGAACATAGCAAGTATTGGAGACAATCAAATGCTCATGCAGGTGCCAGGCGACGTGACGTCATTGTTGGTGGCCTATGGACATACAATGTGTTACTGCACCTGCAGCCTGTGCAGCTGCACACAACATGTGAAACTCAGAAATTGCTGTCACTGTCGAAAGCTTGATCTTTGGTCATTCAAACGTTCACAAATTCACATGAGAAGTCACATGAACATCATTCCAAGATTAACATCTGCTCAACATCGAAACCATTGGAATGGTTCGAGCAAGCATGAGCCAACAACAGGTGGCAGCACATTTCCAATGCCATCATAACACGATATTTGCATTGGTCAGGCATTATGGAAACAGTAATGACGTCGCCGACCACCCACGTTCTGGGCGTCCCCGAGTAACGACGCCAAGACAGGACAGATGGATTCGGGTGACTCATCTCAGACACAGGTTCCAGACGGCAGTGACAACGTCCCAAACCATTCCCCAGGCCTTCAATGCTCATTTGGTAGCCTCTGTGTGTCGTCGATGCATTGCTGTGCTTTATGCGCATGATGGTCATGCCCGTTATTGAACTTTGTGACTCCGACATGTGACCCCCTACGCAATTTTGAACTTCTGACGTCATCGTTACGGATATTGTTCATGTTCTTTTGACATGTTGTTGTGGCCCAATACTTCAGCTTATAAAGTGTCTACATCATTTCGTCTTTTCTGTGTTGTATTCCAATGCTGTAGGAATGTTCTGTGTGCACAGTTACTTTATGTGGCTAGTGTATTTGGAACAGACCATGGCTTTATGCAAATTAGTGTGCGATGATATTATATTACAAAGGACAAGTTTTAAATGTCCATTTTGAAATTAAATTTAGCTTCATTATAATGATAGCTGACGCAAGCGTCCTCGTGCTTAACTATAATAGTTCAAGTGTGCTTTATTACACTATACATGGTGGTAGAGCGAACTATATTTCTTAAATACTATACCAGTGTATACCCATTTACCAGTAATACTGCACAGCCCTACCAGGTACCCATTCATACAGCTGGAATATTGCCAAGTTAAACAACAAACAAACCATTATCTAATTTATATTTTCAGCTTTCAGGAATTATCATTTTTTTAGATGTCCATTTACAGGCCCTGACAAGTTTAATGTTCATCTTTTGGGTATGATTTACTTGATACCGATTTCATTGAGGGTGGAACTTAGTGTGCTCATCTCCAAAACAAATTAAGTTGACTGGCAGAAAGTTTAAAACATTAAATATACTTTAGTACTAAGATTTTGTCATTTAAAGGATAGTTCTGTCAATACATCTCTGAAATTATGTGTAGATGAAAGATTGCATACTTCATCATCAACACCAAATGTGTTTTGCTGCGCCATTCTTCCATAGACAACTTGGGTATAATATGAAATGAGTAATTACATTACACAAATGAAGTTATGTAATATTTTATTTAAAAATATTCTGTACAGATAAGTATGTGTAGAGAATGTGTTTGTCAAAAGTCATGAAAATATCAGCTTTAAATGTGTCATGTCAAACAATAAGATAAAAATGTTATTGGCAAGGAATAGGCCACCATCACTCACACATCCAGCCAACACACACACTGATAATTTTAACTGAGTACACATCTTGCTCTTCTAGATTACAGATCTACTCAAGTTAAGTGCTGCAACCTGTCGCCAATTCAGCTACTCACGAGTTGCTGACCTAGAAATATGGTACCAATGGCAACTAATCCGATCACAGGCACTTGATCACATAGAAATCAAGAGGCATTTGACCAAAGGCAAGTTACAACCTTGTCATAAGTATGAAAGTGTATCAGAGACCTACCACAGCTGGAGTTCCAATGAGAATGGCTCCAATGAAAGGGACCCTAAACAAGTTATCTGCTGTAGTGGTTTGACATCAGACATTCCAAAGGTCATACATATTTTGGTGGAAGAAAGTAGAGGAACTGGAAGCACATCCAACTTTCAACATTCCAAGCACATGTGAGCAAGTGAGACCCTGTATCTGACCCTATGATACATGCAGACATTCAACAACCACCATGCAACATATGAAGCATTGACACCTACATCCATCCAAACATCATCGACACCTTGCTCACATCAGCATGCCCCTAAACAGCTTGACCTATGCCTGTTTGACTGAGGAATCAAAGAATGTGGTCCGCTTAAATAATTACTTTGTAGTATTAAGCAATCTGTAATTGCAAATTGAGTTGTATCGTCTTGGTAAAAAAACGAGACATTTACGACAGTGCCCCTTCATGACATTGCTATGTATTGCTTTCCTGCATTAAAAACACCTCACTCATCATGCCATCCATAAACACTACGACCCGTGAAGATCCGGGGTAGAATAGGTCTTCAGCAACCCATGCTTGCCACAAAAGGCAACTACCGGTATGCTTGTCGTAAGAGGCGACTAACGGGATCGGGTGGTCAGACTCGCTGACTTGGTTGACACATGTCATCGGTTCCCAATTGCACAGATCGATGCTCATGCTGTTGATCACTGGATTGTCTGGTCCAGACTCGATTATTTACAGACCGCAGCTGGAATATTGCGGAGTGCGGCGTAAAACTAAACTCACTCACTTACTCATAAATACTACAGTGGCGACCCCCTACAGTTTGAACATGGTGTCCAAGATAAAATAAGCAATCCCAAGGATAGGTTCTATTCTGTGTCTTGTTCAGAAGCTGTAGTCACACATGGACAAGCCAGATCACTTTTGCATAAAACATTTGGTAACAAACACCAATCCAACAGCATACATGGACAAAACCTTGAAATCACCAGCTATAAAGCCACAAAACAAGGTTTGGAGTTAATGTTCATGTGCCTTACAGCACAGGTATGTTTGGAATGGATGGTTCTTTTCTAAGATATTAGTGGTGTCAGTTGAAGGATATAGCGGATATGGTTGGGATGGGACCTTTAAGAGAGTACCTGTCATAACCACTAGACTGACAGAAGTGGGTCAACCTGGAAGAAATTTAAAGATTGGTGACCTGCTCATTAGGCAATACAGCAACCAGAAACTTTTCACAAAGGGTGTTTTAAGACCTGCTGAGATGAAAACTCAAAGGTTCTGGACGACCAATTAGCAAACTGTGCTTGCTTCTAGAGAGTGACACTTAAGGTGTGTTTGGAGACTGTGTCTTGACAAGGTTCTTGAGGTAAAGATGAACTACACTGACTAATATGTTCGATCAGTTCATGTATACCCTATGTAACACACTAAGATTGTAACTTCACAAATTTGAATACTGTATATTGTGTTTTAAGTTAGTTGTTTAGCTGAGGGTGACATTGTGTTTAAAGTAAAATGTGTTCTGTATATAATTTCTTGGAGTGAGTGAGTTAAGTTTTACACCGCTTTTAGCAATATTCCAGCAATATCATGATAAGGGATATCAGAAGTGGGCTTCACTCATAATTTCTTGGAAATTGATGCAGTCAGATAAATGAATATATTCGGTGGCAGAGTGTTAGTCACATCTGAGGTATTTGTTTTGCATACAACTAAGACATATAGACAAAAGAATTGAAGTTTAAACACATTTTAAAGCTACTCGATCAAGTTGCAAGATCACCCAACAACTGGATATTTTAAGAACTCACAGAGGGATGCATGCGGCAATATATGTCAGTGGTTTAGTGTCATAAAACCAGCAATGAGAATGTCACTCACACATCCATGCACATTACTATATGAGAGAATAAGCCTTCCAAGTCACACAACCGTGTGAATACATGATACTCCATGCTGATTTATGAATATATCATTCTCTGTTTTTCCAGGGCTAGCATTTCAGTACACCTCAACCTACTTGTCAAAGGAAATACCATCATCATTGGAATAATACAGTACTTGTCCCCAGTACAAATTAGTACTCTTGAACAAGCATGAGATTCCAGGGCTAAACAGATGCCCATTTCTACTTGTCATAGTGAGAAGTATATGGCCATAATGTGTGAGCTCTTTGACAGCATGTCATTAAAGCCTGATGGATATATGTAGTTGTGCTGTGATATATGACTTCTTCACTTCAGTCATATACACTCTGGGTCGGATAAATCCTCGCTGAAAAAAATAAAAAAATATACTTCAGCTTTGACTGGGATTATTCTGTCATCTTATTACACCAAGATTTGCATATTAATGGACAAAGGTACTGGACTCATGACTATGAATTATGACTAACTGTGACATTGGTCCGTTTAATGCATTGTCACATTGTCATTATTCCAAATAACTCTGACCCCAAACACAGAAAGCTGGACTTGGGGTACTATATGATTCATGCATACACTGTAATGGCATGTACCCACTAAAGACAACCTTGGCAGGATGAAATATGAAGAATTCTGAAGAAAATTATCACCCTCTAAATTGTTACCTCAGAATAGAGATACATGTATTCTTTTTCTGATATAAGCAGCAGACATTAAATTATTTCAATTTCAGTTTTATTGTAACAATGTGTGATGCAAAAATAAAAATAATATTCTTTTACCAAATCAAAGACTGTCATGACAATTACTGATACGTCCTTGATTATTTTTAAGAGAAATTATTCTAATTTGATCATACCTAAATTTGCATTGTTTTGAGCCCAATTTGAAAGACAGAACACAAAATTTTCAGCTAAATCAGTAACTTTCTCAAGCAGAGACAATAATGATAGAGGTCACAACATCGATTCAAAAACAAAGTTATGGTTTCAAATAGGGGCAAGGGTATTTATCATAACAGAAAGAAGATACCCTACACTGGGTAGATGAAGATTGTTACTGAACTGTAATGGTATCAGTTGCATGGTGGGCTCGCTCCACACAACTTACTACAAACACCAGTGCTATTGTGTTCCAGCTGCATGTCATATCATAACCCTTGTTGAGGATTATGTCAAGGTAATCATTCTTACATTTATAATAAAACAAAAGATGTCATTGTCTGACTGAAAAAAAAATCTTTTTATTCCTGAGCATGTTCACAAATGTATACCCTTAGTTATGAGACAGTGTAACTTGTCACTCTATTTCTGAGGCGGGCGGTGGGGTAGCCTAGTGGTTAGAGCGTTGGCTCGTCATGCCGAAGACCCGGGTTCGAATCCCCACATGGGTACAATGTGTGAAGCCCATTTCTGGTGTTCCCCGTCGTGATGTTGCTGGAATATTGCTAAAAGCGGCGTAAAACCAAACTCAGTCAGTCAGTCAGTCTGAGGCACTTGTATAATAACCAGCTTTGGTAGTGACCTCCCTTAGTTGTGGTTGTTAATAGTCATCCCTCCAGACTACATATGACACATATCAGAAGAGAAGACAATGTAACTGCACATTCTGGATCACGTTGATTGGACCAGAACAGGTGGTATTTTGCTAATTACACATGTATAATGGCAACATGTATGTTATGTTCTTGTCATACATACAAGAATATGATATGTAAATGCTATCATCCTAGTAATTGTCCATTTTAAATAATATTTTCACAATTTCTACAGTTGGGGAATGTCATGTGGCAGTGTATGATGGCTCAAAGTGCCAGCAATTTGATTCAGGAGCTGGTTGAATTTTCAGACTGGGTTAAGTGACCTGATAGCTGTACATAAATAATTTTCTGGATTTCATCTTCTTTTATTAAAAGGATTAAAAGAATAAAAGAAGATGAAATCCAGAAAATTCTTTATGTTCATCAAATAGCATCTTCTAAAATGCCAAACAAGCATCTGATAGCTGTAATTTTGGAGTTACCTCCCTAGCTGTGGTTTTACATGCCAAACTCTGTTCCAGCACTTGATACTTTCATTACCCTCTCACTATTTGTTTACAGTAGTTTGCTTTATTCAGGATGCTTTGAGGGAGCAGTTGTTAGAAGGCTTGGGGTACCTTCACAAGAAAGAGATGAGGTTGATTCATGGCCTCTCTTTATTACCTCAACTGTGTCTTATCAACTTGCCCAGCACAGATGGGATAACTATCAGAAAACACTGACTTACTACATGTATCCATCACTGTGTCACGGGTTCAATAACTGGACACGTGTCTCATTCAAGAAAATCAAATGTGACAAATTTTAGACGTTCGTAAGCACACCAACTTGTACAATTGTGCCTGCTTTTATGCATTGCCACATGCTATGCTACCTCATGTGTCACTGTATTAACACTGTACTTTCACTGTGATCTTAAACCTAATCTTATGTGTTTCAATAGAATTTATTAATTGTTCACTGATCTTGAGTGGTTATTTCCTCATTTCTCACTGTAGTTCTGTACATACCTATTTCTGGGTTAACTTGAAGACTTGAGTGAGTGAGTGAGTGAGTGAGAGTGAATTTTGGTTTTATGCCGCTGTTAGCAATATTCCAGCAACATCACGACGGGGGACACCAGAAATGGGTTTCACACACTACCCATGTGGGGAATCGAACCCGAGTCTTCGGCGTGACGAGCCAACGCTTTAACCACTAGGCTACCCCACCGACCCCTTGAAGACTTGAAGTGACAACAAAGGGATCAACACGAAACACATTTAAACTTATTTCTTGAATAAATACAATCATCACTACAGAACAAGTACACAGGACACAGAAATCTGTTCTGTAATGCTACATGACGATCATTACATTATCCTCAATGGTATGTTGAGATGACAAAATGGGAACTGGTTACCATGGTTACATGACAATTACCATGACTATTATTATATTCAGTCTATTCAGCATACGTATATAACATCAAAATACCCAATAGCATTGTGACTAGGGCTAGGAATATGCAATATTGTTGAGACGTTACAATAACATTAAATATCCTCAAAAGATATCCGCAACTAGCTTTGTGTGGCTTTATTGTTGATACACATCATTTTTGGCACTGTAGGTGACATCAAGTCGATCGCACCTTTCTACATATTTTAATCCATGATCCCCTTGAGAGTCGTATCTGTCCAGGTAGGGTAGGTCTAACATCTTGGGTTTGTATTTCTTCAAAAAGTAACACCAGCAGTCTGTTTGGGCTGACAACTGGTTGTCACTCTGCGTCACATCTATGGGAGTCAGGTCTCGCTCATAGAAAATGGGATGACCTTCCAACTCGTCCAGCGTGGCAAGCATTTGTTCATCGACTTCATAGATTTCACCTTGAATGTTCTGAAAAGCAAATACTGGTAACAGTATAATGTGAACATATGGAATTTAATTTGCACATATAATATGTTTGGAAGAAGACTGACTGACTGAGTTTGGTTTTACGGCGCTTTTAGCAATATTCCAGCAACATCACGGCGGGGGACACCAGAAATGGGCTTCACGCACGCATGTTTGGAAGAATGTAATGTCAACATATGTGTTAATACATTCTGCAGAAAACTTTGAAATATTATGCAAATCGCTGGCATGCAATTAGCATATAATAATATCGGCTGTTATCATATGACAGTAGCAGCTGTTAGTATATAATAATATCAATCATTATGGGATTTACTCATGTATAAATGAATTATAGTGTCAGTTATAATTGTCTCAACTGCAGATATAACATTACAAATATTAAAATGTACATATGTTGATAAAATTCATAATTATAAATTCCTACTCTTCCTTAAAATTATGCATGAGACTGTTAGATTATGCAAGCACACACTTAAATTATCATAAAATTCAAGGCTCCTGATATTGTTTTAGCCACTGGGTATTTCCACACATGTTATGATTCATAACTTGTATTAACAGCTTTTTTCCAGTCTGTTGGGTTTTGTAAACAAATGAGTTCACCTTTTTTGAAAATAGTTCCACTACTACTAAATTGGGTAACTTCTAATTATCATGATTCACAGGTTGCCAGAACTCATGATAAGAATACACAAATAAGTTACAGTTAGTACGTAATGTTGCACATCTGAGTGTATAACTCACTGCAGGAGAGTTCATGTATATGTAAAGCCTGCAAACAGTCAGCAAGAAAACATTTGTGAAGACAGAGCTGAATAAGTACCTCAGGTTGAGCTACTATTTGGTTAACGATTTAAAACTTTTTTGATGGGCATTTTAGAAGTTCAAGTGATGAAGAAGGATGGCAATTTTATGGATATACACAGCTTCTTTATTGTGTAACTGTAAAAGGTGATGTTTTGACATAGATTCTTATGTCGTCAAGCAAGTGATCTGTGCCGAAACATTGCCTTTCACACAATAAAGAAGTTCTATATCTGTAAAATTGTCATCATTCTTTATCTATTTACACTCAATATGCTTGTGTTATGTTCATTAAGTGTGTATTTCACACATATACAGCTAACCATTTGTCCTGAAAACTAATCTTGAAGAATAAGCTGATCATCAGCTGAAATAGACAAGGCCTCACATGAGCAATTTCCATGATGTGCCAAGTGCAGAGTCAACAAATAAGAACAATAATAATGAGTATTTATAGAGCGCGGTATCCATCCACAAGGTGCATGCTCAAACCGCATACAACTTCAATCCTAACATTAACAGCAGTGTATGAAATAAGCCAAAACTCCAGCCAGACATCAGGGTTTGTAACTTCAAAATGTTACCAGCCCAAATGGATTTAACCAGACCAAATATGGTGAATTTACTCAGATGTATGGAACATCTAAAAGTTTTACCAGACCATGGGTCTGGCTAGCTGTCAATTTAGACTGTCAGTCAGAAATCTAGACCGTCTCGAGCAGTCAGACAGGCCTTATTTCATACACTGATTAACAGATACATATATCATAACGAAACATTCCATTTGAACACAAAACTTGATTGTTAAAGCGAACCATATTAACTGAGAGTTGATTTTGCCCTATCTTCATCCATCTGTTCTTCGATCTTACAAAGGTGATAAAAAAAAACAAGTAAAATCTGAAATATTGGAATAATAGAATTCCTACCTGGTTCATGCTGAAAATGGTCTAATATTATCCAGTGAAGTTTGAGTGTGTGTTTGAGTCACACTAAGGTGAAAATAATAATGATGGTGATTACCGCTTGAGGCAGCATGGTTGGATTTAACTATGCTGTACACCACATTGTAGGGCATAGAATTGGTCTTCAGTAACTCATGCTTGTAGTAAAAGGCAACCAACAGGATCGGGTGGTCAGGCTCGCTGACTTGGTTGACACATCTCATTGTATCCCAATTGCGTAGATCGATGCTCATGCTGTTGATCACTGGATCGTTTGGCCCAGACTCGATTATTTACAGACCATATAGCTGGAATATTGCTGAGTGTGTCGTAAAACTAAAACTCACTCACTGTTATTTACATGTAATCCACCATATATACATGATGTGTCTACAAGCAACTGTTATGTAACGATGCCGTCCCTATTCAACAGGGAGTTCGGGGCATTAAGGATTCACTAAAATGTACTTCTGTAACTTGCTGCTCATTTGACAATGTTTAAAGAATTTTAAAGTCAATACTGTGAACTAGCATCTAGTTTCTGAAATGTAGGTGTAGATGTCACCATGCTCAGATATGATAGGTTGTATAAATCTGTACCCCTCCTTTAACTGGAACTGCCTGCTTATGTTCATTTTCAAGAAACAGAAATCATACATTTTGCAAGGAATTCTCTGTTCAGTTGAAGCATCGATGCTAACAGTCTGATCTCATCTTAAAAAGGATTTGTCTGATCTTGGTGCAGAGATATCAGATCAGAAGAAATGATCTAATTGTAAGGAGATTGGCTAGACTGCTTGAAAACAGTTAAAAACAATTTTACTAATAGTTTCAATTACTGTTCTGTGGTAAATACCAGTAGTCAGTCTTTCATTCTTTCAACCTTTTCATTCTGTTAATCAGTTACATTTAGAGGTATTAACAAAAAAGAGAGTATATTATATGAGAACAGAAAGTTCATACAAGGGTAAGAACCCCTCACCCATTTTTTTCTGGCTGAAATAATATGACAGCAATGTCATTTTCAATATCAGATATCACAGATATCATAAAAGCTGCTGAACAGTAATCGCTATATCATAGCGGTATTTACAAAATTACTCCGCCGTTTGTTGAATTAATGTAACCGAATTAAATACGATACTTCATTAGCTATTCACAGATGTGTCCAGCCCGTTCACTGCTGCCGATCATGTTTTTATATAGCTCAGCGGAAGAGAATCATGACAGTACAAATATCTGTTTTCTCACAAATAACTGTAACAGTTATCATCATTTCAGAATGTCTTGTGTCGTTCATGAAATAATATATATTTATATCATAAAGTAACCTGGAATAATTGATTGTCTGATTAGATGAGTGTTTTTTACAGTAGATTGATAGGGAATGAAACAATTAATGACTTTTGTTAACTTGAACTTGCTGTTATATAGATCGTGTGACATCCTCCCAACTAAATTAAAAACAACTGGTAAGACTTCCGCCCGTATGCCTAAATTTTAACGATGAGGAAAAATTTCTTTGAGTGGCATTTTTAGAAGTTGGATATGTCTTTCAGTATGTTCCGATACAATTAAAGACAAATGTTAAAACTCATCATTATCAGATGAAGAATATATATTTATGTGATATGATTTGACTAGAATGAAATTTAAGGGGGGATACGGGCAGAAGTCACTCCAAATAATTTATTATAAGGTTCATAACTTTATCTTTAATTTATCCCTTATGCTACTAACCGTGAAGAATTTTCTTTTGCTGTCCTTTATAATTGCCAAATACCGTGGGAAAAAACACCAGAATTGTAATTGACTGGAACTGCGCATGATTGATACTGATGTATTGGCAATAAATGTTTGGCAACCAGTAAGTCAGAAGTCTGAGCATATTTTAATGTCACCACAGCTTGGATAGTTTTAAGGATGATAAAGGAAATGTTTAAAAAATCATATAATATTCGTATGAAACCGTTATGGAATCATCATTAAATTGATATCTAAACAGATCAACAGTCCCTAGATAATGTTTAGATTTTAGAACATTTGTAACTAAAAAAAACAACATAAATTGTAATAAATGACCATTGCCTTACTACTTTTAAGCACAAACCCGAGTCTAGACTAACAACTAGTCTCTGAAATGAACATATTTTACAGAAAAAAAAGCTCATAGTTAAAAAAATTAAATATAATGAAAAGGAGCCCTGACACATCCTTCTTTTTCAGTCTAGACTTGCCACATTTTCTAGACTTACGTGGGCTTTCTTGGATATATTTCTTCAGGGTTTGTATGACAAACTAACCAGAGTCTAGATACGTACCTTTCCATGACCTTCTTTAAATAACAGAAATGGAATGTTAAAGTCGGATGCAATCACCAAAGGGTACTTCTTTGCTGTAAGTCCTCTTCCCTTATATTTCGCTACACCGTTTTTTGTATCTGACATCACCGCATGGTTGGGTTGTCCTTTTTGCAATGTTCCATAGACGAACATTGTAAACATTTTGCATGTCGACTGTGCCATCGCTGACGATAACAGTCCGTTTACAGGTAAGCGTCTATATCCCATAAAAAGTGGGTCAGGACGTACATTTGTCGTGATTGGGTGAATTTACAATTGGGCGTACTCGATCTAGGCCAACAAACGACACCACACAATCAGCTGTCATTTGATATATTTCAGCGTGCCCTCCCGTTGCTGTCTCAAGCTCCACCGCAGTGCTTTATGACTATGTTAATCTCAAAATATAGCGTATGCATCGCAGTAGGGAAAATTCCTCTGACTTCCGGTTTGAAAATGGCGTCGGAACTTGAATGGAGACGTAGGTGGAAGCCAGACTTAAAAGCATGCCCATGGCAGCCACTGGAAATAGACGGAGAAAAATATCTGATGAAGACAAAGTTTTCAGTAAACAACTACGAAGTACTTTTGACAGATTTAACTTCTTACTGGCATGAAATTATGGAAGAAAATGCTTTGAAGAAGAGAATACAGGTGAATCCGTAACCTAAAACAACTACAATACCGTCCGGTAATTCCGCGCACTTAAGCACATCGATCGCAACACGGCAACTAACGTTTCTTATCTTTTTGTGGTTTACGTTACTCAACATGCTGGTGTGCATCATATGTAACTAGAAATATAAGTTTTGTTGACGACTACAAGATTCTAACGTTGCATTATGCCATACCGTTGACCTTACCGGCGTTCTGACGGCATCGCTTGCTGTCCGGTAATTCTGCGCAGCAACTGATGCGCATAACATCCAGCTGGAGATCCGAAGTATGGAAGCGTAATAGGGCCAGATTATTTTCAAAAATCACTTCATCAATGTAAGGAAGAATGTTTAATATTAAATCCAATTATGAATAATGAAGAAAAAGGTTTAAAAGTCTGAAGAAAACGAATTTTCATAAAACTGTCAATTTGTCTGTCAGTTACTGTTATTTACTTACCTTTAGTGATTAAAATCCAGTCCCTTGTAGAAATGTCCCGATTTCAAGCGTAAATGTGGTAGCAGACGATGTTTACCTTCGAAGTACGCTATTGCTGCTGCGCAGAATTACCGGACTTGTATAACAAGACCATGAAGTCACTGAAGTTCAGTGACTCCACTGTCTTGGAATAGTCTGAAGACGCTCCTTTTCCTGAATCTCAAATTAACCGATGACGATATTTGGCCTGGTATTTATTTGATGCACTTCTCCTGCTCTTGCTTACTTCTATCCTCCAAATAAAACATGGAATGCACCGATGACATAGTTCTTTTCCAACTGTGTGGTATCAGACTACAGACCCGTGCCAGTTACATTCGGACACTTGATGTAATTTCCATAGACTTACATGTTATTTCAGTGTAGCATAAATAATTTTCATGAAGTGAGTTTAGGATGGATCTTTGTAAAATTTGACAGACAAATGTGAAATCATCTCTGCTCTGCACACGTTCTTCTGTTGCGGACACTACATCGCCAGTTAGTCTGCTTGATGTTCTCTCTGTGTGTGTCCAGCCTTCACAGTTGTCACACGAGATTGCCTCTTGGCCTTCACTTACTACCACAAAACATTTCCTGCAGTTGGTAGTCATCTTGTCAGTTGGAAGAAGTGAATGACTTACCCGTAGTCAAAATCAATTTATACAATGCAGAGCCTCAACATTTCCTTTAACTAAACACAGCATTGAATGTCAATTAGTGAACATGTTTTAATAGCCTGTTTTTATGCACACTTTTTGACATACCGGTACTTATAAACAAAAGCTCTAAATTGTTTTGATAAGTATTATACCATACTTGTTGACAAAACCTATGCATTTTCGTCCTCACCTTTTGACAACAACAGCTGTAGATTGTTTTGATAAGTATTATACCATACTTGCTGACAAAACTATGCATTTACGGCAAATAAACATTTATACAAACCTTTCATTTTATTCTTGTAATTATTTACAAAAACATTAATAACATGCAAATAATTGGTATCACAGTGTTGTCTATACATGAATATTACTTTTGCTCTTATCAGTTTACTAATAGAAAATTTATCAGAAATATTACTACATAATATTATGTGAAGAATATAATATGGAAGTCGACAAAAACTATGCATTTATGGTGTATATTAAACCATTTTAAGTAAATTGGGGCGATTTGACCAAACATCTGGGGCATTTTGACCAAATTTGCTGGGGCCTTTTTGTCTCTGGGGCGATTTGACTGGCACTCGCACACATAATTTCAGTTCAACTTTCCGACCACTATTTAACTAATGACATCACATTTATCAACTTACGTATGGTTCCACAATGCACAATCCCATAGGCCGTCATATTAAAGGAGTTCATGGCACTGTACACATGTTGATTAAACTGTTGCCATTCGATAAATAAGCAACGGAAAATTAAACAGAAATGATGTGATGTGGTGATTGTAGGTAAGATGATTCCTCACAAATGTGCAAAATTTGACATGGATCATGCGAAAAAAAAAATTCATGAAAATTATTTATGCTACACTAAAATAGCATGTAAGTCTATGGAAGTTACGTCAAGTGTCCAAATATAACTGGCATGGGTCTGTATATATAACCGGTTTGGCTCAACCACGAATAGGGCTCAAATGAAATCATCCATATCATACATGTAACAACTCGATGGCATCAAACATTCGGCTGAGTAAAACATTTCAACTGGCTTTAATAAAACATTTCAACTGGCGAATGAGTGAGTGAGTTTAGTTTTACACTGCACCCAGCAATATTCCAGCAATATTGCGGCAGTCTGTAAATAATCGTGTCTGGACCAGACAATCCAGTGATCAACAGCATGAGCATCGATCTGTGCAATTGGGAACCGATGACATGTGTCAATCAAGTCAAAAACCTGACCACCCGATCCCGCTAGTCGCCTCGGACAACAAGCATGGGTTACTGAAGATCAATATTCTAACCCAGACCTTCACAGGTTCAACTGGCGAATGTTGACACAGTCATGTTTTGGGTTATTTTTTTTAGTATCCTGGTGTCAGGGGTTTTCGACGATGTAAGACAAAAGTGTAATATTTATATTTAATATCAAGTTTGTATTTTACTAATCTTGAGTGATAAAGGATATATTCTATTTCACACAAAATACCAAGTGTTTCCGACAAAAACAGTGTTGATGACATCATATCAGCGAAACTGTTGCCGCTCTCCACATCTGGGGATTTTGTATGAGCCATACTATTCGCTCTGCACTGTGAGGGAGTGTTATGATAATGTGGCTTCCTATTTATATGTTGCCTGTCACTAGCAGACCACTGATCTTACTGAATTTTCGCTTGCTATTTTTTGTTATATAGGCAATTGTTTTTGCATCTGAAGTGGTATTAACGATCTCGGGTAAATAATATTGATGTTTGTTTGCTTTTTCATATAGCTTAACTTCCGGATTTCCATTGTCAATAAAACTTCTCACGACAGCGACTGGGCATCTGCCCTACCAATGGAACTGCTTGTACACTCTGATCGCACGCGTTACTCCCAGGATATAGAGCGAGCAATGTAGTCGACGAAATCACCAGAATGTCGAATTCAGCTCATTTTGGGATATGTGTTTATCCCATGCCATGAAGAAAAACTTATTCTAAACTTCATCCAATAGTAGATGGATTATATGTTTTAGGACTTTATTCATCTGTTGCCATGTGTTTTCGGATGGCAGGTTTTTTTTCTCTCACTGTAACCAGATGGGATGCATCACACAGACATAGTAAATACTGTGATAATGGTATGTGCTTAAGATAAATAAGTGAGTGACATGTTTTGCAACCACTTTTAATGTGGTGATCAACAGATGTTCTTAGGCATCTGAAAAACCAGAACACAAGGATATATTATGGCACCTAATTTCAAAGGGCTTGTCAATACACATTCCTGCAAAACTAAAGTGAAGAAAGAACTATATATTCCCCATTATTGAATGTGACCCTACCTGTAAACAGCGCCAGGTCAAAATGACACCAAAATTGTCTGCCTAAAACAGCACCAGATTCAGTGGACATTGTTAACCATTTATGATACATTTATTCAACACATAAACAATATCTGCCAGTTAAACATTCAAACCATTTCATACTGTGCAGCATAGATTCTCCAAGTTTGTGGATATAGATGAACTGACAAATTTACTCATTCGTTTCCTTGGGATAAAATATAAGTACTGAAGTGGTTATTATATATAAAGCCCCGTTCACATGCACCTGTTTGCACACTTATGTATAAATACACACATGAGCAAACTTTACATATGGGTGTAAATGTGTCATGTGAACGCATTTATTCACATATGTAAATATACACTAGGAGCAAATTTACATGTGGTCGAGACCAGGTGCAAACGTATATTTACACATGTGCGAATTTGCACTGTGAACAAACTGTGTCATTTCATCTTCATTTAGGGGAAAATTACATATTCAGGATGCAAAACATCACATATGGTCTGACAAACTTCATGAATACATTTACAAACTGTACTTCCCAACACCAAACAAATTCCCCACAGTTCTATCTATATTCTGAAGTTGAAGCCATCTAATATATTGCAATTGCAACTTTCATTCGTACATCCAAAGGTTGGCTTGGTCACTAGCTTTAAAGTAATCCTGCAGTTGTGTGCAGATAAAATCGAAACCACATTGTTCATTCGAAAATTATCGTACCAGTCTTTGTCGCCATTAGATTTTTTCATGTCGTTCCACCAAACAGACAGTCTTTCTTTCTTCCAGAGAGGTCTACATGTATCTTGTGACAGACCTGTTGCCATAGCAGTACATATATGATACTGCGTGTGTCTTCTAAAGCGCCAGTGATAAGAGAACATTTTCTCTGTTGAAGTTCAGAGAAAGAAATGAAACAATTTAATGCATTTATTATTTACACTTTCAAGTTTACTCACTCTACTTAAGTTCAATGTGAACGCAAAGTAAATTTACTATTACACTCGTATGTATATTTACACATGTGCAAATTTATACATTTTTGGCTTGTGAATGGGGCTTAAGATGCATTGAAGGCATATTTGCCTTATGTATTTACACTTCTCTATTCTTTCAATGTAATGTTTCTACATTATTTTATTTTTTTCCAGAAAAGCAAACTTGATTATATATCTGAGGCAAAGAGGCATACTTAAATGGTTTGGGTTTTTTAAATAGGAAAACAGTAGAAGCTATAGGACTGTTTTTGCCAAGTCAAGATTCTATGTTGCCAGTTGAAGTGCATTCTTTGCAAAGACAGGTGTTGTATTCACATATCTTATGACATTGAAGCAGTGTCATTTAGCTAAGAACCACATGTTAGGATGTGTTATCTGAGACATGATTTCTCTCATTTCTCAAGAGCTTTCTCTTCAAACAGTTAATAAGTGACTTACCTTTGCAGAAACTGAATCCCAGTATTGAAGCACCAGTGGTTAGGATTTTGGATCATATAAAAGGCAGTCTCGAAAAACCAACAAAGGGTACATCCCTGACAGTTGCATTCAAATCTGAAGGTGGTGATGAGAAGGCAAAGTTGTATATCAAGTCAGAGCTTGCTGGTATGCCATTTTTTGTGGCATTTCTCCTGTAGCAGTGCGGACAAGTCTATGGTAAGTTATTCAGTGTTAGTGAGTCTTAGAAACTATCATGTAAGTCATTGTCAACAAGGCATCAGGTACTTCTAGTTTCAACTTTCTCGTCTTCCTTTTTAATCAAGAAACCCCATGAACACAGAAACAAATTATGGTGATTATATTGATGTTATAACTGTATGGTGTCTTGTGATGTATCTCCCTGCATCTATTTTCATCATTGATAATCTTGTTCAAGGTGTAATAGTTTACTGGCACGGGTTCTTAATCTATCCTAGAATACAGACAAATATAAGAGTTCCACAAACTATGCATTGAAGATTACATGACCTCCACCATTCACAATCAAAGCAAATTGCACAATTTTATATGAAATGTATGGTTCATGCAGCCAAGTGTTTGTTGTTTAAGGTTTCTGTTGGTCACATATACATGTTTCATGACTCTCGACAGGTTCACACATCTATGATAAAAGTGTAAACTTTACCATGTTTACTGTACTTCATTAGAATGTAAATGAACTGCACCTGACCACAATAGTGACCATCCACTGGACTTAGGTATTCATGTGTGCTCTTAGTCTAAGCCTGAGGAAATAATGTGTCAATTCAATTCTCTTTATTTGGGTACAGTGGTGTGGGCCATCAGTCCTATGTACAACATGGTCCATACATTATAAGGAACTTATGCAGGTACAGCAAGGCTATCTGACGATACAATCGATTTTGCAAAGTACTTATACAGGTTTATCCAAGCATGGAAGATATAACATTCCACAAACAGTTATGCATAATTTTACAGGGGACCTTGACAAGTACCTCAAGGTTTGGAAGATATAGTCACGTAATGTGTCACAAGCCAGGACATTCCAATTTTAAAAATCAAACCCCAGTTTACAAGCACATCGTGTGTCTTCATTCAGGATAGCGGAAAGTTGACGTTGAGAAGCTTGTGAGTCTGTCACACAGATGTTGATGTGTTGTAGGCCTGTGATCATGTGACAGTTCCTCTCATGGCGATGGTTGCAGAGCTGACACGACGCCAACAAGAACTCATCAACATCATTGTTGGCAAAGACAAGGAAATTGACGACTACAAATCTCAGGGTGCCCGAACATCCCGAAGTATGATATATTAAAATATTGTTGTTGTATCATTTGAACAAAATCAACAAGGCAGAGACAGCATTCATAATGTGTGAGTGATATTAAACTTAAATGATTTGGCATTTTGAACATTTAGTTTTATATGAACATTTTTCTAACCAAAAGAGGACTCAAGTATTTATGAGGCAATAATATTTAAAATTAATGACAGAAAAAATGTATTTGAAAAATTGTGTGAGTTTAAACAGTTAAACACTTTTTGGGAATGGTACCCTAGTTTTTTTGTCTAAACATTAGTTACAAGGCAAGTGAGATGTGAATAATGTTGATCCATGTGAATTGAGGTGCATTTCTTGATCTTCTCCACAGAACACATCGAGACAACAGTTTTTGATGAAACTACTTTCAGGAACAACATGGTGACATCAAAGGTACATGAGCCACTTCTATATATTAGCAGGGCTTTAGATGTGACAGAAAGCCAGGATTGTGTGTTAACATTTCTAATTCATCCTGATAATTGCCCTAGTGTTGGAGACCGCCTCCGTGGTGTAGTGGTTAGAGCGTCCGCCGGAGAGCGGAAGGTTGCGGGTTCGATCCCCGACCGCGTCATACCAAAAGACGTTAAAATATGGTACTTGTTGGTCCCTGCCTGGCATTCGGCATTAATGGGTACAACAAGGACTGGTCGGCTCGGAGTCAGTATAATGTGTCTGAGTGGGGTATTCATGCTTCACTGCGGCATGGTATCTCAGTGGGCTAGCACTATAAAACCAGCTTACATCTGGGCTAGTACAAGCGTCGTCATATGAGCGAAATATTCTCAAGCACGACGTTAAACCCAATTTCACCTCACCTAGTGTTGGAGCCATTGACTGAGTAATCGCCCATTCGAGCGATCTTGCTGGCGTTAGCAATTATCGATGGGCTCAGGAGACTAATCGATATTCATGAAAAATGAAAAATGAAATTACACTTTAGAAAGTATGTTTTTTATTGTTATGTTTGCTAAATCAAGCTAAAAACAACTGATCCAGTTTCCTGACTCGTTAAGCTGCTATGTAAACAACATACATGCATGTCGCAACAGAAGTATTCTTGACTATTTATCGTAGTATTAATCAGTGCCTGTTTCGTTGTATAATGTTATGATTGTGTTCCATTATTGCCGTAATGAGTTTTGTGGTAGGGTTTACGATTACAATCCATTATTGATTGATTACTGAGCTCCGAATATCAGTCTGCATATTGTGAGCGATGACCAGCACTACATGTTTCTAATAAGGACCATGCCCAAACCCAGGGTTTCACTACACCTCGGAAGAAAAGGGAGATAAGCAATAACGTATGAGTCAGGATAAGTGTAAAATATCAATTTTATCATATAAATTACATTATTATTATTATTATTATTTATACTGGTTTTGAAACAGCATAAATCTTTCCAGGGATTTGACAGTGCAGTCAGGAAGTTGGGTTCTGCTGCTTTCAATGCTGATGGTCAGGATCTTTATCGACAGATAATGACGAAGCATGCATGGGTCACCAGATCACCAACTAAGGGTAACAAAAATTGTTTTTAGTTTCATTTGGTGGGGTAACCTTATCAAGTTATGGTTAAAGCATTTGCTCATGATGCTGCAGACCCGGATTTGATTCTCCATGTGTACAACCTGTGAAGTCCATTTCTGTTGCCACCACCCTGATACTGATGGAATATTGCTAAAAGTTTTTGTAAAACCATACTCACTCACTCACTTTAGAGACCTAGTCACCTAGGTAAAACATGCAATATAAGTTGTTATTCTTATCTGAGGCTTTCAGATCAGTTCATATTCTAAGACATATCCTGATTGTCATCCATTAAAATTTACCATTTGTGTGTATACTGTTATTTTATTCATAGGTATGTCACAGAAACAATTACTAGCATTTGGAACCATTTGATTTGTTTTGGTTTTGAGGTGCAGTATTGTTTATTTGACCTTTATTGGCTTAAAGAGTCATATCAAGTCTACTGTGTTTAAAGTTGTGAGGAATGTTACCATTGTTTGGATTTCAAGTATCTTGAACATGTACATTTATGGCCAGCCTTTATCCTTGGAAATAGAATGAAAATTGGAGAATGAGTTGTTAGTGTTGCATTTCATCATGTATGTTCTGTGGTTTTGTTTTTGCATGTGTGTTATTAACACATGTACTTTGATTTCACCTTTGCCCTTAATTAATAATGTAAGCTGAAACTTCTTATAGCCAATAATCAGTTTTTGTTCAAATATAATATATTTTGGTATATATATGTGCTATCTCCTCAGAAACCACTAAGCTAATGATGCTGAAGTTGCACGAGCTCATTCCCACCAATCAATTTGTTCGAGAGTTACTAAGCCCTTCTGCAATAGCAGACATGTTGGAAAATGACATTTGGTATTTGGGTAGTTTCAACAGAAATATTCTATCTTTCCCCATGCCTTTTAAGTTTCTCAAAACATCTTTTCCAGTGAAATAGCACACATTAATGAACTACTTTTTAGCAGATTTTGGTGTTAGTTTTAGTCCTCAGTACTATTTGAATATCAATACTGTCAGGCACTTGGACCCACTTTGTTGAAATGTTAAACTGTTGACTATATGTAGAAGTGAAATACAGTGCCGTGGCGCTAAATTTAATCTTTGTCATAATGTGGTGAATTGTAGTTTTTAGTGGTAGACAGAGGCAACTGCCAAGTTTGAATTTGCTTCTCCTTGTGATATAGATGATGTCTCCGACAGCCTGGATGATGATGAGAGTTTGAATGCTGGGGTGGGGCCTAGCCTGCCATCCTGGGCCAACAGGGTGCCTACATCTATAGGAAGGGGGAACTCGCCCATCAAGTCAAGCCCTGAAAAAAGTCCTGTTAAAAGTCCCAAAAGTCCAACCAAGAGTCCAGGCTCTGTTGGATCACGCAGTGCCGACTCTACACCATCAAAGGTGAGAACAGTCTGAAGGATACATTTATGGCTGTCACATAAATCACTTACCTTGACAGCCAGTTTATCTCACTAATATCTTGTCTAATACCAAGATGAAGCTACACACATGCCTGATTTAACTTATGTGCCAATAATATATGTGACCGCTTGAAGCCCTGAATGGGATTTGTGATGACTGAAAGGATTTTTGTGAACATCAAACACATCAACAGAATTGAGTGAGTTTAGTTTTACGCCACTTTTAGCCATATTCCAGCAATATCACAGCAGGGGACACCAATGGCTTCTCACATTGTTCCCATGTGAGGAATCGAACCCAGGGTCATTGGCGTGACGAGTGAAAGCTTTAACCACAAGGCTACCACACCACATTAACAGAAGCAGGCACACCTACACCTAGCTATATACCTAGCTACATGCAATAATCTTTAACATGAGGATGTTAAACCCCTTTCACCTCATCTGCGTGATCCTGTACTGAATGGTTGTTTTTCAGGACACAGAGCTGATGAGAAGACAGGCTCTTGAGAGGAAGTTAGAAGAAGAAGATGCAAAGAAACAAGAAAAACCCAAGAAGAAGAAAAAGAAATTGGCTTTTTGATTTTACCAGTCAACATTCATTATCATCATTTTGCATCCATTACACTTCCCTATGATAACCTCAATTAAAGGGATGCTGCATTTCATTATATTTGTATTCTAGTTCAGTGACTGAGGGGTGGTATAGTTTCAAATCGAAGTATTTGTTCTTACCCCATTGAGATGAACTGCTGATTTGACAAGAAGCCCCTACTTTTTATTATGAAATTCAAAATGGTTTGCAACAGGAACATACTGAACCCATCAGTTCTGTAACTGATGATAGCTATTTATTATTATTTATAGACAAGGGATTTATTCCACTGATAGATTAGAAAATCTCACTGTTGTGTGATGCCATAGTGTATAGTGCTCAGACAACCATGTTGAACGTTATCTCTTCTTGTGGTTGGTTTATGGTGCAAAGTGATTATCAACTTGAAATGTGAAGGTTAGTACATCATGTACAGAACCAAATTATGAAATTGATAAAATTAAGATAAATAATAATATTGAAACACAGTTTTAGGTTTACACTCAAGAAGGAAATATAATGGGTTAAACAAGTGGCAGCAGCAGGTAGTAACAGGCTCAAGAATTAGAGACTGTTCATAATCTATGGCTAGGGGTGATGATGATTTTTTTAAGAAGGGGGCCACCCATTTTGTTCGGGGTTAGGTTGGGGGTCCCATCATATTCATACACATGAAATAGGGGGTGGGTCAGCACTTTTGTACATGACATGGGAGGGTGTGTGTGTGGGGGGGTGTCATTCACATTGTACTTGCTTCTCCATAAACATCATCATCGCCCCCACTAGCCATGGATTATGAACAGTCCCTTAGTGGTTCTGCACTCATGAATGTACAGAATTCTGTCAACGTTAAATGTCAACAGGCCCATCTCTTTTAAATCCTTAATAATGTTGGAAGGTAGCAGTGTTTACAAACATGTATTCAGTCTTAATTTAGCATGGAAATGACTCAAATCAGGTAAAAAAATTACCTGAGATGCTTAATTTTACGTTTCCTCAGGTGGCTAAAATCTGATCTACCACGTCAGCCACATTAAATCTACCATTTATGGTAATTACCATGTCATTTTGGTTCCAAATGCAATGAAATGTGTTTAATTTGAACACACATCAGCATTTTTCAGTGTCTTAAATTTTGACCAATGCCTTAAATTCTCATAAATGACATATACAGCTCTAAAACAATTTTCCCCCATGACATTGACATTAGTGTTGCCAACAGCATCCTTTTGAGTGTCAGGCTTGGGTAACCATTTACACGGTCAGCAATCTATCCAGGTGAGCTAAAGAGCTATTTTTGAATTTCTTTTACTAATCAACATTTAGAGAGGCTTATTACACCTCTATTGTCCATTTGTTTATCGTAGTATTCACATTCATATACATATATATCATGCACTGTCCAGATAAACTGATTTGTTATCTGTGAGTTTTCATTGTGCATAATGTCCATAAACCTTGTTATACTCACATGAACTTCCTGTTTAGTCTTGATCAATTTTTACATAAAAAAATTCATGTTTCAAATTTGTTTTGTAATCTTCCGAAGTAAAAATGTGGTTGATCAGTATTCAGTATTAATGTGCCTTTTATGTTGGAGGTCAAAGTCATTCACAATGTACAGTGACATATTGCACTGTATTGCAACAAAAATGGCCTACGTCTCGGGTAGCGCTCCTGTTGTAAATGTGCAAGTAACCTACCAAATCATGCTCCAAGTCAGTGTTTTCATCCAAACCGATATGGTATCTGCAAATTTGATTGTTGCAATAATTTGGCATGTTACTGTATTAATACTAAACAAGCATTGTCACTAAGGTGACATAATCCCCTGCTGCAAATTATCAAATCAAACTTATAAAGTAATGAAAGTTTAAGTTAAATGTCAACAAAAACATGACCTGTCAACCTCTCTTGATGTCTTGCTCTTTAGGTGTTCAAACACACACATAGTTTCAAGACTGACTCTGACATGAATGTCATAGTGTATGAAATATGCAAAAATAGTACTAAAGAAATTGCTTTTTGAAAAACATTTAAGGGAAGTCTTGAAAGTCTTTGAAGAAGATCCAGTGAACTGTTTTTGAAATATCTTGCTGACAATTCAGGCTAACATGCTCAAATCTTCAAAGTGTCTCTGTGACCTTGAAAATTAAGTGAAGGTCACCAAAATCGACTGGGCCCTGCGCCTTCCCTAGATCAAGCTTTGTATTGAATATGAAGAAAGTCCAGTGAACGGTTCTTGAGATAGCTTAACATGCAGGTAAAACGTCAAGGTCAAACGTCAGGTCACCAAACCTTACTTGGACCTTTCTTATACTGTGATGAACCTAGGTACCAATTATAAAAAGAATCTAGTGAACGGTTCTTAAGATATTCCAATTCGTATGTACGGACGGACGGAGCCTAATACTACATCACCAGCTTCATGCTAAACGCGCAGCGGGGGATAATAATATTGTGCAACTCCTCACTGGATCTGCCAAGATCTGCTGTGCCCTAATGATGTGCCTTTGTCACTGTACCTATGATTCAGGGTTTCTAATCTACTCATGGCTGTGTGGGTTAGGCTGTGGAAAATTTGGTGTCTCACTGGGAGAGAGTGGGTTCGAATCTCCCATGGGATACAAAAATGTCAGTTTCTTAACTAAGGAAGTGTAATACCAAATATGACATTTCACATCTGCAACTGGAGTCACAGAAGACTGCAATTTACAGTGACTGATACTATAGCCTGTTTGCAATGAAAACGTACCGATGAATTTCACTTGAAACAAACAAGTAAATCAAATAAAGTGAAATTAAGATTGCGAATCCTCATAATTTTACCTTGCCAACTGAACATTTAAATCTCAGAATTTTATTCAACTCAGGATAAACTTGTTTAACAAACCATCGTAGTTTCAAATCGTATTATTGGTTTGTATTACAAGGGGGAATGTACATTAAATGAAACACCGAGATCTAGTAGGGTTGGCCTGAGCATTTGTTTCACTGTTCCAACTACTGCGGTTGCCCCCTTGTAATACAAACCAATAATAGCGATTTGAAACTATGATCGTTTGTTAAACAACTTTTATCCTGAGATGAATAAAATTCTGAGATTTAAATGATTAACTTTTTGGGTTAAAGTGAAATTTATTGATTACGTTTTCACTGCAAACAGTCTATAGTGCTGGGTGGAAGGTTCTGGTTTGGATCAGAGCGATGTCGTATATTTCTAAAATATAATATGATTAATCTGAAAAGTCTCTATTCCAGAAAAGAAGAACATGGCAAATAATGAAAACCTGAAAGTTCTTATTTATTCTAATACTTATAATTTTCAGATGAATTTTAATATATATTAAAATCATCAAATTGGTCGAAATTAAATATTTGATTTTTAATTATTCTTAAAATCAGATATTTCCTAATAAATATTATTCATATATCAAAATATAGACTAATAGCTGCCCAGGTAAAACATGCTTCGAAACACTTTTCCTCGTGCAAGAATTTACTGTACTGTTACTTCAAACAAACTACCTGGGTTTGACTGAACTCCACAAAGTTAACATTGGCATTTTCTGTTCAGAGTGTGCAAGATGGGTTTTATGCCACTAGTTCAAACAGTGGCACTCAGGAACCTTCCACACGAGGAACAAATGCTTCTATTAACCTATGCTTAATATAGAAACCATCATTCATGATGCACAGAACAAAAGACTTCTTGTATGTATGGGTTAGCATTTCTTTTGTCAAACAGTGACATTGTATGTAGACAGTTCTGAATAGAGCAATATGTTTTCCAATTTCATAAAGACCACTAATAAGAATAAACAAACACAGACATCTTGGTATTTTTTACTTTCTGAGAAGGCAACAGCTATGTTACAATGCTGCATACATCACACATTCCATTCTGACTGGTCAGAGTAACAGGACAACATTTGACCTAGGAGCAAAAAGACCTCAGATTAAAACTACCATTGACTGTACAGATGAGCAAGGATTATAATACAATCTTCAACAATTTGCATATATGTAGCTGGGTACAAAACTCTCTCATATCGAAACAGTGGAATACACAATGAAATTCATGGTCACAGGCAAATAACTATTTCTTTTTTATGGCTATGAAGTAATGTCTCTAGAAAACTGCTTTGACAATGTCAAAATGACCAAAGCAAAATGTCTGTGACACAGAAGGAAGGTATATTCCAGTTTCCACAAATAAAACAATCTCAGGAATCATAAATAATAACAATGACATCATGAATCAATCGGTATGTGAATATGCTAGATAAATAGCTACATCTAATGACTTGATTAAAATAATGATTGTTTTCAAATGATGAGACAATAAAATCACCTGGGAGTGTTCAGGCACAACCCCTTTTACTTGGGACAAAATTTGGAATCTACTGTAGAGCTGTCTATTGGCATTAGGCTGGTGTGATTTTCTTATTAAAAGCATGTACACGGTACTTGTTTCAGTTTATTGTTAATTTGAAAATTTAATGACATTTAAGGCACTTAATAATCAACAATCACTACAATAATTTCATTATTTTCTTCACACATTATTTCCTTCATAAATGAATGAAAGTATATAAATACAACTAAAGGACTTTAATTGTTTTACTTTCACTTCATCGATTGTTTCAGATTCATAAACATATGCTTTCTATTTACACATACATGACAACAAAGAATCATAGCCCTGATTTTATAATGAATCTTTACCTCTATTTAAAAATAATAATTAAATATTGAAACTGTTTAAATGAAATAAAACTCCAAAATAAAATAAATATTAAGCCAGAACATATGCACAGAAATGTGGCATGATTCAACTTTCATCATTAGAGTCGATACACAAGTTAGTACATTAAGCCTTAAAGCGAAAGTTCATAACAGCATAAAAAATTCACATCTACCTACATTTCTCAAGTTTATTTTACAAAATCTTGTTTTGCCTCCTTCCTTCAACTGAAGATGAAGACATTCTGGATGTGAAAAACTATGTATATTCAATCACATGTTAAAAACGTCACAATCCACAGGTATACAGGTTTTATCTGCATCACAGAACTGGGGGATTACATACTTCCTGATTAGCTCTAAGAGGCATTACCTTAACCAGACCAGGCATGGCAGCCATTAATGTAAGAGTTCTGGTAAAAAGAAACTCACAATGTTCACTAAAACACCTTAAAGATTTAACTGAGTAGACTGACACAGGGTAATTTAAGTCATACTCTAGCACTGTAAAACTCCAACAGACCATGTCTATCATTTATGTCAAAAGCACATTTATCATGATTTCAGGAAGCAACAGACATGCAGTAATTACGACCTTGTCTACTCCTATACACCTTGATTTTCAAACTGCATCATGAGACATTATTTCACTACATATTCAGCTGGAAACATCATATATCCCATCGCTGCTAAAGTTATTCACTGTTTGTCTTCCAGTTGGCACCATTTGGCACTGAGCAGCATGTCATATGCATGACACTAAAGTTATAGCAAGCATTTTACATATCTGAACAGTCCAGCAACAAAAGGCAAATTTTCTATAATATATTATTTTCTATAATGTAATAATGACTTTCACACACTGTGGTTGAAAAAAAATGTTTATGCAGCAGCCACAGTTTCCATTGTTTGCTGATTGTCTTAGCATCAACTTAAGGGACTTCAGGAAAGAGGAAGTCCTCTCTAGGTATAAGCAACAGCATGTCTTGGGAGGGTCATCTATAATAACAACAACTTGTCATACATGACAATGTGTATTCCATGTCTAATCTGATCATAACCCTGACGGGACTCATTTTTTATCCATCCAATGAGTCAATCCTTGAAATTTGTCGTGGTGAACTTGCCTGTTTCAGTTCAAGACACAGATTCACTTAGGCTGGTGGTCATATTTCTCAGTGGACAATGACCATACAGGTCAGACTATCACAATCACATCTGTTACATTTGTTATAATCACACCAAAAGCATATCACAGAATAGGTTTTGGTAGCTGTCAAAAATAACAACAGATCTATGATTGCACTTTATAATTTACCGTTTGCACATACTACACTACGTGTTTTCCACAGCACCTTGAACTTGACTGAAGCAATAACCACTGTTCTATATGACACTTTCATCACAATGTTGGGCGTGGAATCCGGGGTATGAGAATGACAGGGCCCTGTGGCTGTGCAGGGATCAAAACCTGCTGTGACATATGCTGCAAACCAGGGATCGCAGTCTGCAACCCCTGCAAACTATGCAAGCCTTGCAAGCCTTGCAAACCTTGTATACCTTGGATACCTTGGATACCCTGAACACCATGCATACCTTGGAGACTCTGTAAGCCTTGAAGTTGCTGAAGGTTCTGTATTGTCTGGAGGCCATGAATGCCTTGAAAGCCACCCACACCTGCCGGGAAGTGCATGCCTCCTTGAGCTGATGCTAAGAGCTGACTGTGCAGGGACTGACCAGATGCTAGCTGTATACCTCCTGGGGTTTGTATGGGGAACGTTTGCATTCCTGACATCGGCGTGGCGCCAGCCATATGTGGCATGGCAATGACTGGAGCACCAGCTTGAATAGGCATGCCCATCTGGTTGATAACTCCTGCACTGTGTGGCACTATGATTTGTGGCTGAGCTTGAATTAGTTGTGGTGTCGGTGCAAACTGAACTGGACTAGGAATAGGTTGTTGTAGGATCAAAGTTGGCTGTTGTACCAAAGGAGACTGTGCAGTTGGTAGCAAGATAGTCTGTGCTTCTTCAACTGCTGCTGCCTCCTCAGCAGCTTCAGCTGCAGCTAGAGCTGCTGCAGCCTCTTCTGTATCCATTTGTTCATCTTCATCAGAGCTTGATTCAACAGGCTCCCCATTTTCTGCTTGTTTCTGCCTTCGCTGTTGTCTTCTTGCATGTTTCACTGCTTGTTGTTGCAGCTTCCCGATACTGCTCAGCTTGTTCAGGTGGAATGAGGGGTTCCATTGGTTTGGGTTCCTCTTTCTTTTCCTCTTCTTTCTTTGGGGGTGGTGGTGGCTGAGGTGATGGTGATTTTGGAGGTGGAAGTGGTGGAGGCGATCCTCTTGGCTTCATGTGATCTGGAGGTCCCATCATTCTGGGTGGATAGTGTCCCATTCCAGGAGGTGGCCCTCTGTTTAGAGGGGGACCTCGCATCCCCCGGTGGGGCCATACCAAGAGGTGGTCCAAACTGTCCTGGGTTTCTCATTGGAGGTCCTCTCATTGGGGGTCCCATCCTTGACCCTGGTGGTCCAGGACGCATTCCTGGCCCTGGACCCATACCTGGGCCACCAGGACCCATTCCATGTCCTCCTGGACCCATGCCAGGCCCTGGGTGTCCCATTCCTGGACCACCACGACCTGGAGGTCCCATTCCTGGGCCTGGTGGACCCATTCCAGGTCTTGGTCCTGGACCTCTAGGTCCCATCGGTCTTCCTGGCCCCATGTTATGACCCATACCAGGACCACCTCTGGGTCCCATTGGGCCATGACCCATTCCCATTCCAGGACCACCTGGCCCCATTCCTGGCCCCATTCCTGGTCCCATTCCTGGTCCTGGCCTATGTCCTGGTCCAGGGCGAGGACCAGGGAAAAAACATTCCTCTGGGAGGAGGTCCATGTCCATATCCATGTGGTGGTGGTGGTGGAGGCATATTAGGGTAATGGCCCATATCATGTCCCATTCCCATATCATGATGCATACCATGTCTCATACCATGCATCATATCATGGCCCATGTTTGGGCCATAATCTCCCATGTGCTCATCAGGTGGTGGTGGAGGTGGAGCAACAGAAGAATCTCCATCTCCTGAAGAACTAGCATTGGTGGTAGTTGTTGACTGTCCATCAGTTTGTCCAGGTGGAGGCAATGGGATATTTACAAGTTGCTTAGCATCGCTTTTCTCAGGTACTGTTGCTGCATCTTTTTCTTCCTTTGCAGGTAGAGGGATATCTAAATTGCTTTTCTTGTTTTCCTCCCCTGGTGTTACAACTGCAGGTGTTCCACTGGGAGTTTCCTCCTTGGTACTGTTATCTTTAGAAGAAATAATTGCAGGTACTGGTTTTGACGGCTTTGCTGATAATGATGACCTGTAGGAATGTCCCCTGGAACCTGATCTGTGTCTAGAACGAGATCTAGAGCGTGTATAAGACCTTGATCTACTATAGGATCTGGAGGAGCTTCTTGACCTTGAGTAACTTGATCTACTTGATCTGCTATAGGACCGTGAGTATGATCTATTTCTCCTTGACCTGTGGCGAGAATGACTTCTTGTGTAGCTTCTTCCAGACCTTGAACGACTGGATGACCTTGACCTGCTGTACCTGGAATCATCACTATAACTGTGGTAAGAACGTGAACGTGATCTGTAAGATCGAGATCTGGACCTGGACCTAGACCGTGAATATGACCTTGACCGTGATCGACTAGCCCTTGATCGACTTGCCCTTGATCGACTTCTTGACCTACTACTGTATCGGTCAGAGTCAGAAGATGAGCTGTAAGATCTTCGACTCTTATTTGAAAGGTTCTGCTTATCATTGTCCCTGTTTTCACTTCTAGAATTTCCAGATTTATTATCGGTTTCATTACATCCTCCATTTGGACACTTTGGAATTTTCTCCTCTTTCCTGGAATCCTTTTCAATCTCCTCACCTTCACTTTCACTGGTATCCCATTTAGATTTGCTGGTATCATCTGCAGGTTTGCTTTCATAGATTCCTTCAATCTTGCTCCATGTGTCTTCACTTTTCTGACTTTTATCTTTTAATTCTGATTTCTGTAACTTTGCAGGTGTCAAGTCTTCAGTCGTAGACTCACTTGCATTTCTCTTTCTCAAAGATCCAGTTTTACCATCTTGTACATCAGGAGTCTTTATCTTCTTTCCACTTTTAGCATCCTGTGGTGATTTCTGTGGTGTTCCTTTTCCACACACCTTATTCAGTGGGGATTTCATTTCACCCTGTCCTGAAGTTGACCTTAAATCTCCAGAGGTCTTGTTGACATTATTTGCAGATTTTCTTGGAGTAAGTGACTTTTTAGGGCGTCTTATCAGCTTCCCCTTCGTTAGCAACCAAAAGCTTACTTTCCTGCTTCACATCTGTCTTCTCACTTGCTGACTCAGATGAAGCAGTGTCCTTATACTCTAACACAAGTTTATTCTTCTTCGCTTTCTTCCTCTTCTTTTTGGGTGGAACATCTGCATCACCCTCTAAAGTGGCTCCTTCAGTTTTGACAGCTTCAGTGTCAGGTTCATTTGTTTTATGTTTGCGTTTTCTTCTCCTTGATTTCTTCCGTGAAGATTTCTTTGATGCCTTCTCTTCATCAGATGGCCCATGCTCAGTTTCACCACCCTCATGGTTCTCTCCAGTTTCTTTAGAATGTTTTTTCTTTGATTTCTTCTTCTTCTTTTTCGATTTCTTCTCAACAGTTTCTTCACCATCAGCTGTCTTATGTTTATGTTTTTTCCGCTTTTTCTTCTTCTTTTTATGTTTGACATTATCTTTGTCCTCACCATCTCCATCGGCTGGCTTGGCATTATCCTCTCCAACAGCTTCATTGTTATGCTTTTTCTTCTTCTTATGCTTTCGTTTCTTTCTCTTTGATGACTTTTCACTCTTCACCTGTTCAGCTGTGAATTCAAATACCTTTTTGTCATTTTTCCCTTCTTGTTTATCGGATATCTCTTCCTTTTCTACCTCTACTTTTTCAGTGTTCTCTGTTTTCTCAACTTCAACAGGCTTGGGCTCAGTTTTACTATTTTCCACTTTAACCTCAGAATCCTTCACTTCTTTATTACTCTCCTGAACCTCCTCTGGTAATGCTTTCACTTCTGGTAAGGGATCTACAGCTTTAGGCTTGGATTTCAACAACTGACTAAAGTCAAAATAGAGAGGGTTGCAACTGAAGCTCAAACTTGGTTCACACTTGGTGTACTGAATCATATCCTGAGGCCAGTCCAGTTCTTTGTCATCCTTGCTGAGGATCTTCATAAAGGAAAACTCTTTTTTGGAATCTGGAGTTTTTCCACTACTCACAGGAACAGCTTCAGTATTGCTATTCTCATCATTTTCTTTCTGCTCCTCATCTGGTTCTGGTGCAAAGGCAGCTGATGTCTCAATCCTGGCTGGAGCTGTCTTTGTGAAAGAAAAGCTGATGCTTCCTTTCTGATCATCCTCTGCAGATGCAGTAGACCTGCAACAGACATATCTTACATCAACATGTGATGGTACATTCAGAATATGATCAAAGGTATGAATGCAACCTCTTAAGTGAATACCCATTTACTTTTTAATACAACAAAGGGTAAATTGAGTGACTGAAGGTTGTTTTATATGGCTGTCCCATAGTGGTCATCTGTGCAGCAAATGATGTTTATGGGCATTGCATGTTTCAGTAATATAACAGTACTAACATCAATTGGCACGCCATACTGTACCAATGCATGAAATCAAATGGTTTCAAATATAATGTGAAAATAAGTAAAAACTCTGAAATAATCATGCACTTACTTATTCGAGTTAACATCATTCTTTTCACTAGGGTCCTCTTTGCCCGCGTGTGCACCAGATGCCTGTAAGATAAAAACATACCATCACTGCAATGTCAGAAAACATCAGTATCCTCATTGCACATCCACTTATAACATAAAGCTAATCTCCCCAACCCTACTGATAGGGGATAAAAACATTCCTGCATAAATCAATTCATGAAAATAATTATATCTGTTAGGCCATGTTCTTTATCCTTTTAGGTTTAAGTCTCTTATATTACAGGAAAGTACAATCAAAACAGATAAAAGCATAAATTTACTACATCACAGAATATTTTCTACAGAAATCGATCATCGTGATACAACAGTTGGAATTATATGAATGAAGAAATGAAAATTAATACAAACAAACCCAGAGATTTATCTAGGATTCAAAACTAAGTTCCCTTAGTAGACAAATTTTGAAAATATTGTGATAATATTCAATATGAATTATTATTTTTGGGAATTTTAAGATATTTAAAATTTTCATTCATACTGGGAACTGTAAGAGACATTTACTACAGGCATAAGGGTGAATATTGGCCTCTGTGTAGGTCTAGATAAATCCCTGTAAACCAATAGCACACACTGTCATACTCAATTAGAAATCATTTAAGAATGTTGATAATTGCATTTAACAATTCCAATATTTTTAAATACTTATGTAAAATCCAAGCAACCCTTTCAAAAACTTCTTGAGATTATTTTCAAGTCAATGTGACTTTGTCTACATGACTTTCAAACTGAGTATGACAACAGTGTAATACAATCCACAATTGGGAGAGATGAATGAGACATTGGTTTAACCAGAACTGTATCCAGTATGTAGTTGTCGACAGAGTACAATGTGCTTTAGATATTTGTTATGAGTGAGGGTAACCAACTCATTACAGCAAGCTTGTAACTAGAAGACATGCAACCCCAAAGCCAATAGATCTTACAATCTTCTGTTATAGATTGATCTTCTGTCTTATCATCTCATAAAGTTACAGGGAGAACACAGTTGACACCTATATATGAACAAAATGTATGATGCTAACAATGTATTTCAATAATCAGGTTAAATAATATTAGGTCTGTGGTCTAAAATATTTTTCTTTATCTGAAATGTGAGATCACTGTGGCTAAAAACAAAACGCTGAATACGCTGTTTGAAACTTTGTTTTGTGAAGAAGAAAAAAAAACTGGTGGAACTGAGGTTCTTATCACCACAAAATACCAATCAAAGACACAAATGAGAACCAAATTTACAGACTGTCATTGATTGGTTCACTGATGATAAGTTGATAATTCAGGTGATGTTGCACAATAAGAATTTGAAAGAGTTGTTTTCCTTTCTCTTAAAAGATCTAGTAATTTGCAAATAATATCATCATAAGGTGTCGATTGTGTTCTTTGTACTACTGACAGTAAACACAAGCAATTGAAGGGGAAACAGTACTGTTACTATATAAGTATATGTATCAATGAAAGTACACTAAATATTTTACTTATAAAATTCATAGTCAAACCACTAACAGTCTTTGCAATTAATTGAGAGAATAAACAATAGGTATACTTTATCAAATGGACCAGAGTCTACAGTGTTGTACATTCTTTCATGTATCCTACTGTGTGTGTTAAATGAACATGCTATGTTGATCCACAAGAATTCTTGAACAAAAATGTACAACACTCTCATTATCATATCTTAGTATTAACCAGAATGGTGATTGTCACATTTCCTAGAAATGACAATCAACATATATATTCTACTTTTTGATCTGGTGATATGAGATGAACTGCTTTTAACTGCAAGATTAATCTGGAATAATGCTGCCATTATACAAAACCTTGGATGACCATTTCATGTTTCTCAAAGCTTTTCTCATCAAAATCACTTCTCCATAGAATCTTTGAAAAGGATCTATGATACCTGATTTTTTTTTTCATGGTGAAACAGTTACTTTATAAGGTAATGTAACCTTGAAAGTGCAGATTAATGTAGTTCTGGATCATCCAAAATTTGATATAATGACAACTATCGTGAAGTGCAATGTTGATATGTCAGCACTCATACAACTATGTGTTAGCCTTACACAAGGGGTGAGAGTACAGGACTTCTTAAACAGTATCTATTATGGTATTTCCACTGTCACTGGGCAATGATTTTAAAAGTTAACCACAAATGTATGTAATTTGTTATTGACAATTATCTGCCCACGGTGAGGAAGTCATATTTTGGTCAAAACTATTTGAAAAGTCCTGAGATTGATCACACTGGTAAAATGTGTATTCAGATCTATACTGAAAGCAAATCTGAAGATCGAACATCCATGCTAAAATACGGAGCACTGAGCAAGTCTTCAAGATTAAAATAGAAAAAAATGTCCACACCACAATATTGTCAAGGCAACATTAATTAACTGGTTAAAATGTGAAATTTCTTACTGTTGTTTTGAAAAGAAAATATCAGCATTATATATACAGACTGCAACTTATGAGAATTTGTTAAAAGCTCATACTTTAATTAAGCTTTTACTTGTAGCTTTCTATTTAACACACATTAAAAGATTAAGCAAGGTAAGGAAAGTGGTTATTCTGACAAAAAAACACATAATACATACCATAACACAGTACAATCTCAGTGTGCAGTCACTAATTTGGTTCAAATAATTGCAACTAGAATATGTTTTTACAGCTCATTTGCATATCAGCTTTTTAACATATTAAAATTTTCAAACAATATAAAGCAAGCAATTTCAACAGAACTATTAATATTGTTATTGTGGAAAGTTTGAAATGAAAGCTCATTGTGTTGCTGAGTCCACTGTTCAATTTTGATTTGATCACCACAAACGCTAAATGTTTCATTTCTATAAACACACAGCTGAAGGTGAATTCTTAAGAATGAACCAGTGTTAGTACAGTAGAAAAAGGGCATTTCCCCCCATGGGTTAAATGGTTAAACAGGTACATATTAATAAAAAGAATAATTTTCAATTAAAATACATTCATGCAGAGGGGGTACCAACCAAATGATACAAAAACCATGCAAACAATATGTTTTCCCAAGCCCAGCCCAATAACAAGCCACACTGACAGTGTTGACCTGAACCACACAGTTTAAATCTTTTACAGCACAGCTTGCATATATACATATATATGGGAGGACACATCATGCCATGTTGTTGTTCTCTCTCAAACTGTATCATGTTACTACTTTGATTTTGCTCAAATCATCACACATTCTTAGTTTACAGATCTAAGCATAAATAAGCTATCCCTAATATGAATGCTTTTGGCAACCTCAAAATACACAAACAGAACAGCTGCACATCCAAGAGAGTACCATAATCGACAAAATTAATGCCCGAGAGGCTACACAGGAACAGCAGTTATTAATTCACTGGATCAATAGAACATTGCAAACATGTAACAGCAGTTCCAACTTTTGTTATCAATACATAATGGAATACAGATCACATATTCCAAACTTATCAAGTAGAAAGCATGTTTAGTTACCGTTACAATGAATACCAGCATCAAAATGGATTGACATATAACAAGTCAAGAACAGGAATCAGCATAAGAAAGTAATGCAGTTTAGGGGATCTTGGGGGGTGCAAGTGTTATCCTTGGAGAGCACAAATTTTGTCAATAACAGTATCACTCCCTATCTGCAAGTTTTTCACTGAAGATATTGGAGCACAAGAAGTTTAGTAAACTCAAACACTCTTATTATCAGATGGTGAAAGCTAAGCATGGAAAGTTTTGCATTGCTTAGAACATGTCTACAAAAGAGGTTTTGTTCCATGAAATCAATAAATTATTTTTAGCCCATTCAATTCAATTCAAGGCTATTTTTACTGAGGAAAAATACCCAAGTTCACATTAACGGAACAAATCATATATAAACAGGGTAACTGGATTAAATAAACTAATAAAAAAAAAACAAATCAAAGAAAACTGACGTTACTCTGAATTTAATGAATGAAAGCATCAGCAAGGGGAAATATTGAGGATTGAGGTACACACACCATTGTCATTGGTAACACTTTCTTTGCTTTATCTTGCCTCTTGGAACATTTTCTGCAGATTCATGAAGAAGTACTGAATGGTCTTTAGAAAAGCTAGAGTAACAGACACTAGGTACTAGTTTCCATGAAGTGAGAATAGCAACAGCCCATAACTGTGCTAATATGTATTCAAATAATTTGCAAGAAACATTAACGAGTATTTAGAATGTTTTAGTGCCTCAATCAGCAATATTCCAGCTTTATGATGGCAGCCTATAAACAATGATCAAGATTAGACAACCAGTGATTGATGAGCAACATCCAGGTAGGATGGCATACACGTCACTGACCAACCAATCCACTGACTTGCCTCTCTAAGAGAAAGCATGATTGAATTCTGAGATCAAGAAAATGAACATCAGTTGCGTCTTTTCTGGTTCTACAATAAGAATAAATAAAATTTATATTGATAATCTATCTTTATCCCTAAACAGCGAGAGGCATCACTTCAACCAGTGTTCAAAGCTTATTCACAAACAAGGAACACATCCTGTGAGATGCTACAGAAATGAAATTGGTTTGATGCTGGAGACATTCCAGCTATAGCACAGCGCAGGTGATCAGAAGAGTTTCATACATTGTATAGGTGAAGAGCTAGGGTATATTGAGTAATGAGCTAAATATCCTCCATCTACTATACAACCCGACATCCTTGATTCCTTTGAAATAATTTCCTCTTACAGACAAATTGAAAAGTGAGGTAGGTATTTTACGATTTCTACTTTTGCACATTTGAATGATATTTATTTAAAAAAATACACAGTTCATGTGAATAAAAATACCTTATGAAGAGCCGTGCAAATGATACCAGACACGATGCAACAAACATCAAGATGATGCTGATGTTTCTAGTCCTCCATCCTTGTTTTCGACCAACACATGCCTACTTCTCCAAGTTCAACAAGCTACATCATTTGGGTAATACAAGCAGAAACATTCTACAACTTCTAATTCTCTTCTTGACCTAAATCCCAACAGATCGTAAATGTGTCTTTATGATAATCATCATTAGAAAGGAGTGCATTAACCTGAAGAGAATGATTGCGTTTCCAGCATGTGAACTAGATATCTAAGTTACAGCTGGGTACATGATTTTCTCAGCAAAGCAAAGCAATGTGACTTATCGTAATACTCAATCTGACCAATCATGTGATGCTTTGTAACCTGTTAAATCTATTCCAGTTGGCTGATCAAATTGATGAACAATAGTCACTGTCATAGACCTTGTTTTGCCAATGATCATTTGACCTTGACCTTGAAGAAATTAATAAAAAGATCATCTAACTGAACTGAGTTCATATCGAGCAGTATCTTTCATACTGAGACTGAATGCCATGTCTTGTCCAGTGCCTATCTGTTTCCAAGTGAAAATGCATCAAATTCAGTTGCACTTACCATCAAGAACCATGCATGTTAAGACAGGAGACAGTAGGCATATCACTTTATAGCTCAGTTGATCTCTGATCAGTAAGCTAAAGTGAGATCAATATGATCAATTATGTCCCAATTTCTTCAATAAACAAAAACCCAAAACTGATGTTTTCATGCATCAAACTATTCTGGTCATACAAGAAAATGACCATGTACCGTTAGTCTTGTACAGTGAAATTTCAAACTTTCTACAGATATTGATTCCACTAGAAAATTAGCAGTCAAAATCACAATGCTCTTTGGACTTTCTTCAAATCCCTATAAATAATGACAATAATATGACATGCAACCACATCCCTACAAATATTATCATATAGATCTTGTCTAAACAGCTTGCGCCGGATGCACACATTCACTCTGCCACAGATACGTCACAAGTGAGTGACCCATGCGACCAACCCTTCATAGTAGAAAATAGCCAATATTTGTAACACAAGTGCTATGGGTAAACCTGTGACGGGGCAAATCAGTGTGTAGTCTACACTACGCTAGTATAGAACGGGAGAGAGCTAACTACAAGTTAGAGTGCACATTAGAATGGGCATAATCCAACAATACAACATAGCAAACCCAGGCATACCAATATAAGCCAAACATATACACACTTTAGGGAATGCACAATATCTTCCAGTTAGTTTTTGTTCTGTTTCTTCTTCTAAAGTTTCCGTGTGAAACATTTAACTGAACAATCCATTTCAGAATGTGAAGGGTTAATACCATTGTTCTATTAAATCACAAAAATCTCACATTTCCATGTATTACTAATACTGAATATCACAGAAGATTGCATTATAATACAGGTCCAAATGTAGAAAAGAGTGAAAGTTTTTATAAGCATACACAATAGTTAGGAAAGCAGTATTTGTTTTTAATATGTGAAGAAAGACCACAATGATATACATAATGGACAAAATACTGTTCTGTGCATGTTGCACATCCCCCAAAGTATGCATATTGAAAGTGAACTGCAGTCCTAATGCCAGCGAAAATACTGAAAGATTGCTTTCTTCTTGGATAAAAAGTACTGATATTTAGCTTACAAACTGATTATGATCATGTATTAACGTTGCAAGTGCAGATGAGGAGTCATACTGGAATATATCTGGTTACCATGGTTACTAGGCGCTGAATGTAATATCAAATGTGATGGGTAAAATGGAATACCCTATTACTGTCTGAACACACACAAAGACAGACTACATAAACTGATAGAAATCAAGGTTTGAATCGTAACATTACATTTGACAGGCTGACTTACGCTGAAAGAAAGGAAAGGAAAATAAAATGTTGCATGACCAGGAGTCAGCAGAAGTGTGTCATACGATATTGTGATGGTCATTCATATACCTTTGAATGACTGCTGACAATTACATTAATTTGGGGAGAGATTAAATCATTTCATATTTGGTAATAATTTCAAACAGGACATTCACTTAAAGTACAAATTAGCTGTTGACATTTACTAAAAATAGGTGTTGTAACGCTTTCATTTCCTTTTACTGAGAAATGGAGTGGTAAAATGTGACTTTTAAGGACACTTTGGAGAACAACAAATTTGTTATATTCTTATGAATTTTGTATAAATTATTCTGATTCCTTTCATGTTCATTATCAAGGGAGTATTTCACATCCTTGTTAGCAGTCATTTCTTAAGTAATCTCAGTCTGAAAAGAACTGTTTATGCTTGTCAGTCATCTGCATAATCGTCTGTTAAACAGTAACAAATCAAACATTTCAAAAATACTTACCTAGAAGTAAGGGTCACTTTATTACTGAAAACTGTATTCCTTTCCAAGTTTTACAAACTCAAGCCAAAACGTTTTAGACACATATGCCGCAGGTTTATATATATACAGAGAAAAAATCTAATAATGTCCATCTTCTTTCAATTTTTCAGTTTTTCCAAAACCCAAATTTGCACAGAAAAATACCACCAAGACTTTTTTCCTTTAAAAACTATGATTTTCACATTGAGAATTTGCACTTTTATCCAGATTATGGATGATTGGAACCTACACCTAAGTAACTGTGAACTCTGTGTTTATTGTGGGCATATACATACTCCATAAGATCAATCTACTAACTCACCTTAGCAGATCTAGTTACTGGTCCAGTTCGTAGTTTGGGGGGCTTGGCAGCCACCTTCTTGACCTTGCCGAGAGCTGCAGTCTTTCCTGGTGTGCTTCCCTTCCCATCCTTTTGGGCTGCATCTACAGCTGCTCCTGCATCACCAGCACCTGCCTTATCATCACCAGCATCTTCCTTAATTCCAGGAGCCTGTCAATAACATGTCAACTATTAAGAATGGTGCCAGTCTCCAGTGTAAGACCATCAAATTTGACTATGTACATATACGTATCCTGTAGGGGGAATATCTCATAGACTGCAAAAGATTGTCTGTATGGGTTCAAAACATTTCTTCAGAATACTATCCATCTATATTACATGGTTCAAGAAAAACATTAGTCACCAACTTTATGGCTATTTGACAGGCACTATTTCACACCACACTTCTCTAAAAATAAATCATGCATTTCTCTCAATAATACTATCAGCCCTAAGGGAAGCTACCATATAATCTATTCCAATTAATACAATGTTAAATTCAATCGACTCTCGCGCCCTCTATCAGCCGAACATATTATAGAGTTATGTCCCTTGGAGCACTCTTTACGAATATCCTATAACTCAACCTGTGGTTGAAACCAGTTCGGCAAACACTGACAACACACTGTGCAATAGTTTTTGATGTATGGAGCAATTGTTTACATTCCATACATGGCAAGTATTCTCTATTTGGAAGCTGTTCGCCTTGAAGTTTCAATTATCTCTTTCAGGCAAGTCGGGATAATAAGTCTTTTATTGCATCAATAGGAAGCTAAAGTGAGTGCATATGCCTCAAAGTATATAATATAGGCCAAAATATTGTCGAAAATGTGTGAAAATGTGCCTTCAAGGTTGTCAATCAATTTTTGGAGGGTTCAGTATTCAACCCTGGAATGGTGAAATAGGTTATTGATTATTGTACAATCATCATTATCAGGATACATGTGGGATTCAATATAAGATTTGTGTTATACTTTAACCTAACTTTGGACCAAAACACATGTGCTTTATGCAAGCATGTTTTATTCAGTGAGCCTAGAACCCCATTTGGCATTATTCTATTCAAGTCTAGTTGGGGACACTTAAGCTTGGGCTGCACATACAGTACTCATCTGAAGAATAAAAATGGCTTTAATGCATGAGACCCTTACCTTGTTCTCTTGTTCTGTTTTCTCAGTGGCAGGCGGCAGAGCTCCATCTTCAGACTTTTTAACAGCTCCCTTTGGCAGCTCAGGTTTAGAATCTGAAACATTGTAAAAGAAGTAAGTTTGTCGTCCATCTCTACCTGGTAGGGGCAAGTTTGCCCCTGAGATGTACCATACCTATCTGACAGCCACCAAACACGTACAGGCAGGCTGACACACATCTGCAGAGGCCAAGTGAAGGAGCACATGCTTGTCCTGTTCACACCCACCCCACCCCCTCATCGCCCATCCCTCACGGTGCTGTCCCCATTTAGTAGGTCACAAGACTATCTACAGCAGTCAAACACTCACAAACCGCCAGTAGCAATGTTCTGTAAAAACAACCCAATCTACTCACACAGATGAGGAAGCAAAGAAGCCAACACATGCAGTTAGAGTAGGTACAGTAGGACATCAGGTGGGAGAGGGGGTTGTATGTTCCAGGCAATTTCAAAAAGACTGTTTAGTCGAAAGACTGACAAGAGGTAAAACATCTGAAGCCGAATGTTATTTCATAATAAAGGAAATTGATTTTTTTCAGACTGAATGTTCCATCTCAAACATTCATTTCCTTTTCTTTTGATAAAAATGCCCAGGATTATGAAATTGTAAAGACCATTCTAATGTGTGATTAAGTCCAAACAAAGTACATTAAATTTTTCCACAGGTTTTTACATTTTTCAACCTAGAACATACAGGAAGAGAGAGAAATTGTAACCGCACCACAGATTAATCAAATAACATATTTCAGATCTATTTCCTCAACAAATACTACATTTGTTGCCATGGAAGTGGTTGGTGAGAACACTAAAATGTGTGACAGAACAGGATCTGACATGAACACTGCTATGTCAAATCCCTGTGTATCTGGGGCAAGCTGATGATGTTAACATTATTGACAGATGCAGGTAGAAAGAAATCAAGACATTCATCAGAAGAACAAATGCTCTGATGCAGCTTGAAGGGCAAGGTCATGCAAAGTGAACAAAGGTCACTCGCTACTGTCAGTATCACCTTTATACAAATAAGGGATGCATAGGCAGACAGACGAACAATGGACGCTGTCACAGATCACTCTGAATGGTTGCTGACTAGCCTCTGCATACAAGCGACTAGTTCTTGTCATTTCCTTCTTAAAAAACTCTCATGTATCACTAACAAATTTAGGAGGATTGTGTCACATTTAAAACAATTATTAATACTTAATTTCTGAACAAAAAGTTTAAGGAGCCAATAGAAGGAACCCTCTCTAGAAGATCCACAATATTTGGCTATTCATCAACATGAAAAACGTTCCTAGTGACAGTGCATGGGAGCTGGGAGCAGTGCTGTGATCATGTAAAACATGCCAGAGAGCTAGTCGGCAGTGGCTTCAGAGAACCTGCTCTACAAGAGGTCAGTGATATGTATATAAACTCGGAGGTAGGTATTTCCAAGCTAACTCACATAGGTCTCGTCTGATCTGAAAGGTGGTGAAACTCTGTAAGTAAACCATCATCACTTGAAGGAAAGCAGAACATGCACTGGACAGGGTAAAACCCTTTCAGCTGTCCTCATAGACACCCACAGCTATTCAGACATACCCAACAGAATTCAAACGTAACATCTGGGTTGAAAGGACACATGTTTAAAGATCATATTCTTTCACGAACAATGAAAGGAGCCACATTATTTCTGTTAACAAGTAGCATGTTATTGTGATCATACAGGTTTTCAATAATTAATATGTTTCCAATGCAGGTGCTGGAATCCATCCATTACATAGTAATGATCTCTGTCAACTGTTCATGTATGATACAACTATAATAGATATCATGCATGGTCTTCGAATAAAAATCCTACTGAAGGATAATGGCATGGATCTATTTAATAATTTCTTTTGATTCATCTTTGACAAATACATGATATAACTAAACATGATTACTGCCACTGATTTCGAGTGAAAACAAAGTTCATTTTGAAGTTAACTTCCTGGTAAGTGTAACTAAATGTGTATGATAATACCAATTGTTTGGCACAGTACACAAGCCAACAACATACATACAACAGATGAGGAGCTAACACGTCTTACTCATACAATAGTCTATCACTTAAAGACATCATAAATGCAAAAGCTGAAAGCATTACATTCCAAAATCATGTAGACAACTAGGGTTTATCAAGAAAGTTGAAACACTGAAGATATATGTAACTTGTTCATGATATACTGATGATTTTTTAGACATAAACCCAGTGTTTATGGAAATAATTGATTTAACGACTCATTACTTGCAAGTGTGAACTATATCTCTCAATATGAAATATCTGTGATACTTTAATAGAAAAGAATCCCATTCACCACAAAATCAGTATATGACAAAACCATAGCGGAACAAGAGATATTGAGTGAACGTGTGAATGTCATACTGAGGGGTACAAGAGTGCAGTGACAACCTATAGTTGAGTATTTGGCAACTACACCATCAGGACTTCATTACAGCAAAAAGCAGGTTACCTTCACAAGACAGAGGTTGATTACAAAGACTTTCCATTTCTACTGGAGATGAAAGTATTCCATAACTCCAATCCACAAAACAGATCAAGTTCTTACAGATGTTATGGTATTAATCAAACAGTTATGACAAACTTCAACTCTTGTTCTAGTAACAATGTCATCATAGTTGAATAAGGTTTCACTACTCAAATCATCTTCAGGTGTCAATGAGCATAAATTCTTTCAATATTTTAAAACTCATTAATCAACAGGATTAATACTTGTAGCTTCCTGATTAGTATGTGACAAAATTACGAGAACTTTTACACCTGTTCCATAAACATGACCAACTATGACAACATTTACTGAATGAAACCATGCAAGTAACAGCAGAGTTTGCTATCATACAAGAAAGCTGTGTCAGTGTTAATACACTTGCTATGTACAGGGTTAGCCAGTAGAAGGAGATCAATTTAACCAAGCATGATAAATGCCAACCATTGCAAACATCAATACGATGTTTAATCCCACTCATAAATTCACAGTGCAAAGGTGAATTAAATAAGCAGCACATTTGACAAAACATGTAACCAAACACTTTAATACATGCATAATTCGTATATTTCTAATTCCTAAGTGTTTGTTTTTTCATGATTTCATTACTTGATCTCAGTGAATTCAAAACTGACAGCAAAAACTATTTATCCCGCTCAGAATAAGATAATGTGTTATGATTTGATACATACTCATGTCAAATTCTGCCATAGTCTTAAACCTTTCATGCAATCTTATTCAAGATGACATATCCATCATTATCTAATCCTGAATTGCACACTGTTTTCATTACTTGGGTTTCAGGTTAAAAGCCACACTTCAAACACTTTGATTGACAACAATCCAATTCTCAATACCTGGAATTACCAACGAAGGTAAAGCCATCTGCAATCACCTTGCAGTGCATCAAATATGACTCCAAATCTTCAATAAATGTATCTACCATACCCTCTCTTATAAGAAATATTATAACGTAAACTCAGGTTCAGGAAAAGCAATACATGTCGTTTCCCAAGTTTATTCAGAATCTTTTGAGGTAATTGTGAGAATAATGAATCTATTGTCAGTGCCATCATCACATCGAAAATGTCCCTCAAAATAAAGCAATGACAGTAAACTGATGCTTTTATTCAGCAATTAAAATAACAGCAAGAAATAATAACAAAACTTGAGTTATCATAGACCAATATAATTATGTAATTTTCAATACTTTTTCCTCATGAGAGAATTATCTGAACCACCATCAAACAGACTATACCAATAATATTCAATACTTAGGCACATCTGTGGTAGATATAAGATGAAAAGTGTTAGTAAGTATTAAATCAAAACAAAGGGGGGAAAATTCATGTTTAAAACAATGTTGGAACTTTTGTTTAATGGGGAAAAAAAACCACCCAAATGGTTTAAACAAAATTTGCAGAGCTCTCACATCAACAACAATATATTGCGACTGAAGAGTGCCAATAAAAGAAAAAAACACAAGGAAGAATTATATTTATGAATAGCTAATACAATTAGTAACACCATGATTTGTTTTCATAATACTGTCACTTTTATCTTAGGCAGATTACATCTACATAGCAAGAATAGCAGCTTGAAACCGTCTAGATACCCAACAACACTACGTCATGCAAACAAGCACCTAGGCTAGTGTGCCACATGGAAGTAAATATATATGTATACATATGACCTCATGGTTGATGTAGGTGGGTATGTTAGACAAAGGATGAGGAAACTGCACTAGTGTGAATAGGTCAACAAAACAAGCTTTCACTCAAACCCATAGGGTGGAGAATCACCACTGAGAGATGTATTTTCAAAAGGTATAAATGTGCATAAAACAAATCAACTGCAAAAAAGATGAGATTTTAGGTCATGAAGTCACGTCTGTTTTACAAACATTCTTACCCCAAATACAGTTATAGGATTATTCAAAGAGGAAGTTGTTGAGGTTACCAAAATGTTTCAAGTTTTGTCTTGAAACTGTATGCAAGTTCAATTTTCCTACCACTAATAATACCAGTATTTCGTAAAACAGACATCAGAATGACAATGGTATGATACACAATGACAATGATGCGACCATCGTACAATGATTATGATGACATGCAAACAAACAAAGTAGAGTCTGTATGAATCAAATAAGCAAAATAGGAACACGCAAAACAAAACATAAACATCTCCAAATCACCTCACCAGAGCTGAAAGGAGATGATGTCTTTGAAAGGGTTAATGGTATTCGGATAAAAAAGAAAATACATGTACATACATTTTCTGGCAACTGACAAAATGCTGAGAACAGTTTCCTTAATCAATACAAAAATAGGGACAACACTCCTACATGTATTGATCACACTGCAATCCAATTCACTTTGGTCTCTATGAACTTAGCATCATACTGCAGCAACAACTAGTGTTAATATTATCAAATAATCAAAAGAAATGTTGGGTAAACTTCAAATTCATAAGAGAAAAACATGGTGTGTAGGAACACGTGATTTACAGTATCACTATTTGTGCTGATGCAAA